CATATCAAGTACTGATGATGCTAGACCAGTAGGCAATAGAGACCTTATGTATCTGTCCAACATATTCCAAAGAAATATGAAGGGGATTAAACAATTTAAAAGAATTAATAAATTCAAGTTTGGAATTATTTTTGACAAACCAACTATGGCTAATGCAGCACTCCAGAATAAAGATTTTTTCAAACAGCACAGATTACAAGCCAGTATTACAGCTTCTGCATCTGAACAAATTGGGGTAATAACGAGCGTACCTATTGATTATAGCAATGCTAAATTATATAAACATTTAACTTGTTCAAAAAAAATTATATCTATTCGTAGGTTTATGCGTAGAGTAAAGAACGATAGTGGCGCAACTACATTGCAACCAACGCAAACAATCTCAATTACATTCACATCAACCACATTGCCAGAATCAGTAGAATTAAACTCATGGCTTTTTCCCATGAAAAAATATGTTCCTCCAATAAAACAATGCTTTAATTGTTTATTATATGGCCATACAGCTGCATTTTGCAAAAATGCCACAAAATGCTCGAAATGTGCAGGTAGTCATAACTATAGAGAATGTGATAGTCAAATACTTATCTGCTTTCATTGCAAAGGTAGCCATATAGCCATAGATAGTAACTGTCCTATAAAAAAGCAAAAAATTATTGAAAATAAAAGAAAAATTAATAATCCAGTACCATATATTGACATCTTAAATACTAAGCAGTTTCCTGCATTACGTAGTAAAAAACAAAATGACAATGAACATGACTTCACCAAATTGTTGATAAATGACCATATTGTAAATATTCTTGTACAAACAAAGTCTAATTAAAATTAAGGCAAGCGGTGTAACAAATTCCAGTAACATTAAAGAAGCTCTTAGAGAAGTAGTTACATCATACAAAATTAAATAATGGCTTTAAGGGTTCTCCAGTGGAATGCTCAGAGCATATTATGCAATAAAAATTGTCTTACTCATTTTTTATATGAACAAGACATTCACATTCATGTAGCATTATTATGTGAAACATGGTTGAGACCCGAATTAAATTTTACTATAAGAGGCTACACAGTAGCCAGGTTGGACTCTGGTAATAGACACAATGGTGTTGCAATTGTCATTAGAAATGATATCCCCTTTCAGACAATAGATACTACATTTGATAACTCTATTCAAAACATAGCCATTCAAGTAAGATTCCATAATACAGATCTTTCCATAGTAAGTATTTATTGTCCTCCTTATAGTACACCTAGTTTTTGTAAAAATAAATTAGATAATTTAATAAAGCTGATCCCTGAGCCAATGATAGTTGCTGGTGATTTTAATGCCCACAATACCTTGTGGGGGTGCCACTCAACTGATAACCGTGGTAGAGACATTAGTGAAATAGTTGAAAACAATGATTTATTTCTATTAAATGATGGCAGGGCCACAACAGTAGGTTCTGCTAGTTGGAGGCCAAGTGCTATAGATCTCACTATTGTTTCTTCTTCCATTGCTCTTGCGTGCAATTGGGAAGTCCATGATGATCCTCTTGGAAGTTATCACCTCCCTGTTATGACAGAAATATCACTACAATCACATTCCTATCCAAACTCATCATCTAACATTCCAATTCATTATAATCTCAAGTTAATAGACTGGAAAAAATATTCAATTTTAGTAAATCAGAAGCTCCAATCTTTTAACATAATGGATAATGTCATTGACTCATATAACAGTTTCTGTGGTGTACTACATGAAGCAGTTGCTGAATCAAGTCCTCAAAGACCCATATCTGATTCAAACAATAGATTACCTCATAAAAAGCCTAAGTTAACAGTTCCATGGTGGAACATCACATGTAGTGAGGCAGTGAAAGCTTCAAAGCAAGCATATATTTTATTTAAATCCAACTCTACACCAGAAAATTATGTAAATTTCAAAAGGTTACAAGCACGTAAAAAAATGATCTTTAAACTTGAGCAAAAAAAAAGTTGGCAAAGTCTTTGTGAATCTTTTAATAGAAATACTCCCATTAAGTTTATATGGCAATATATGAGAAAATTTAATAGTACTTCTCCTGGTAGCAAAAGCTTTTCAGATAAGTGGGTCACCCCCTTTCTAAACAAGTATACCCAAGACAATGATTCAGAAACTTCTCCTTTTGTATTACTAGGACATAAATTAAATGACACCAATAACTTTATTGTAAACCCTTTTTCTTTGCAAGAACTTCAAAGTGGCTTAAAATCTCGTAAAAATACTGCATGTGGACTAGATTGGATATCTTATCGCATGCTTAAGGAACTAAATGATAGTTCACTTCAAACCTTTTTATATATACTCAATTCATTATGGATCCACGATGAAATTCCTGATTCTTGGAAAACAGATTGTATAGTCCCTATCTTGAAACCAAACAAGAAACCAGGTTTAGTTGATTCATACCGTCCCATAGTCTTATCTTCATGTGTTGGTAAGATATTTGAACAGTTGCTTAAACAGAGACTAGAGTTCTATATAGAGAAATATGGAATTTTTTACCTGACAACCAATTTGGATTCAGGAGAGGGAAATCCACTCGGGATAGTATAACTCATCTTCATCTGGATATTCTGAAAGCTTTCTCAGATGACAGAGCACTTCTTTGTGTCTTCTTTGATATAGTTGGTGCTTTTAACAACATTAACCACCAAGTTTTATGTTCGGAACTAAATTCCATTGGATTACCTGCAAAAGTCATAAATTGGATTTTTAATTTCATAAATGGTAGAAAAGTTTTTGTTAAATATAATTCTATGCTGTACGGCCCTAAATACTCATTTAAAGGTAGTTGTCAAGGTAGCATTTTAAGTCCTCTTTTTTTCATTTTGTATATAAGAAAGCTTAATATAATCTTAGGAACTAGTATATATAATTTGCAGTTTGCTGATGATTTAGCTATTTACTGTAGCTCTAACAGTATTCAGGAATCAGTTGATAAATTGAACCACACAATAAAAAGACTTAAATCATACTTTGATTCACTACATTTGAAAATTAGCCCAGAAAAAAGTAAAGTAGTTGTTTTTAGCAAAAGAAAATGTTCAGTAAATGTAAATATTATATATGATAATTCAATTTTGCCTGTTGTAAATAATGTAAAGTTTTTAGGGGTGATATTTAGTAGTAATTTGTCTTTCAAGTCCTATGTTTTAAATATAATTGATCGTGCTAATAGAGCATTTAATATTTTGAGAAGTTTAGCGAAAACTTCATGGGGTTCAGATCCAAAAATATTAAAACTTCTGTATAAATCACTTGTTCGGAGCCATTTCGAATATGGATTTTTATTTTATTCAAATTTAAATCAGTGTATAGAAAAATTGGAAAAAATACAAAATAAATGTCTAAGACTTATCATTGGTGCAATGAATACATCACCAATCAATTCATTACAGATTGAATGTAATATTGAACCTCTTAAATTCAGATTTCACTATTTAAGAAAAAAATATATTTTAAAACAATTTTCTGTCTGTAACAACAGACTACTCCCAAAAATATTAGGTTTCACAAACAACATTAATTGTCCATTTATTTCTGAAAATGTAAATACTTTATATAACAATTATTATAATATTGTAAAAAGATATATGAATTGGCCTTGTTACTGGGGTAACTATGATATTAAATTTAATGACATTCAAGTTGATATTGGTGTCAATTCTGACACGATTCTCTAAACCTAAACTTAAATTTGACAACAGCGTATCCTTGTCTTTCTCTATACGGAATGAAAAGGAGAGATTGATGTTAAATTTAGTTTTAAGTTTAGAGATTCACGCTAGAATCGACACCATTGATAACATGTTGCAAACTAAGCAAGATGTATATAGAGAATTGTATAAATGGTCGAGTTATAAAAAAATATACACAGATGGTTCAAAAACTGCTACATCTACTGGAATTGCTATTTACATCCCTCACAAGAAAGCTGGCTTTGGTGTTAAGATAAATCCCCACTGTTCTATTTTTACTGCAGAAGCTTTAGCCATCTTAGAAGGATTAAGCTATATGGAAGATATTGAGTGTAATATAGAAAAGTGGCTAGTAGTAACAGATAGTCAAAGTGTGCTGTATGCATTGCAGAACCACACCTACAGAGCTGACACAAATTATATCATTGAATTGATAAGAATTAAATTAGGAAACTTACAGCAGAAGAATATTAAAGTGGCCTTTTTTTGGACGCCTTCACACATCGGAGTTCATGGAAATGAAGATGCTGATGCTCTTTGTACTGCTGTAGTGAGAAACGACAGATGTGCTGTGAGAGATATAGCTGTACCATATACAGATCTCATGCCTAACCTCAAACAAGAAATCAAGACCCAATGGCTCGACCACTGGAAAATATCTCTGCAAGAGAAAGGAAAATGGTTTGGAGAAATTCAGAAAGACATACGTGCCTCCTGGTTTGATAAAGGACAGTACAGAACAAGAGATTTTTATACCACTTTAAGCAGACTTAGAATAGGTCATTGCCTTTTTAAAGATCACCTGTACCGGCTCAAGATGGTCAGCTCACCTGTTTGGAACTTCTGCAACATAGATAATCAGTCCCTGGACCATATCTTTTTCTTTTGCGGTTCATTTCAAGTACAGAGAAATTTGCTGCTTCAAGACCTTCGAAGTACTTTTGGCGAAGAAACCATCCCGCGCGACTTGAGAAAACTTTTACAAAATAAAGACACCTACATTCCTTTATACAGATTTGTAAAAGCTACAATCAAAACACTTTAAGAAAGAAAAGTTAACAGACAGGGCTGTATGGACTCAGAATCCTTTGCCCGTCCCAACAGGGACAATTAACCAAAAAAAAAAAATGTCGCGTCAATGTCACACACAATGTCAATAGTCAATAGAGTGATCCGTAATGAGAAATTTGTAATTTTGAAATCGTTCGCTGGTTAGCTTCAGTTAAGCTATTAAAACTATGGTGAACTTGTAGATACTAGCATCAACTTTATGATTCATAATGGAAGATAAAGTTTTGCCTGTTGAAGACGATTTACATAACGGTGAAATCGAGTGGCAACCACTGGCTCTCACATTAGTAGAATATCCGAAAGGTACCTGTGTATTTGAATTAGGTTGCGTTTTCTCAAAACTCTTGCTGTTATCAATCATGTATTTCCAGTAATTTATTTCTTCAACAGATGACTTGATCGGAAAATTCTTAGCTTTCATAAGCTTATCTCCTTTTGGGATTGGAGCTGGATTTATTGCACTTATCTTATTTCGAAGAGATCTACATACGGTAAAGTATCCAATGTATTGTTAGTAATATTTTTCCCCTTGACAGTGTAAAATCCCTGATCTTCACTTTGGTGATATGAAAGTTTTTAGTGCTGAGCGTAAGCTTGGCAGTCTGTCACATCATAGATTCAACTCAGTCAGGTGCAGAGCCGAAGCCTCGCGACGTGTCATGTTTTTCGCCTTGGGAATACCTTAATAATGGGAAAATAGAGATGAATTTGCTACAGGCAAAAAACATCACTTCTTTAGATCTTTTGACTCTACGCTAATGTAAGATTAACCATACAGAGTGAATACAAACTGGGCTCTAATTTTTCTTTTTGGTTCCCTTCTTAAGTCATATTGAAACTTCTTTAGATTTGTATGAAAATGTAAAAAGTTGAAAAATTTGATCCCTGCAAGGAATTAACACCAATAAATAATATAATAGAATCTGTTTATTATGACATCAAAGGGAATTCACAAACACATCATACTAAGCAGACTTCATACTAATCAGTTTTGTGAAAAAAACCCTTTTTTTTTTTAAAAAAAAACATGTATTTTGATAGAAAAGCAGCATTTTATATCAAAATAAAGATTGCACATAATACATGTATGTATGTATATTATTCATTTTATACTTAAGGAATTTGTCATTTTTGTCTTTTGTTTTTTTCATTTTATTGTAATAACAGAGTGTAATACTATTGTGTATTAAAGACACTACCATGGTTAAATTATCATTTTCAATATTGCTATGAACAAATCGCGATAATAATTCTGCACCCGTTAAGGCCTCTTCTATGGTAGGTAATTGTTCTTCCTCGACTTCCTCTTCCCCATCACTTTCGAGTTGTTCTGTAATTGCTTTATGATGTTGAGATGACATTTTTTTACATAGGATATCACTTAAAACAATGTGTGACGTTCAACTGTTGTTACTAACGTCTTGTTGGGATCAATGAACATTACCAAAGGTGAAAAGAATCATGTCGGTCATTATAAACGGACAAAATTGATTAAAAATGGGTCATAATAAGCAACATGTCACTGTAAGCAAAGTCATTATATCTGACTTTATTTCAATAAATTTTATATGAAAACCAAACTTCTTTGTGTAATTCCGTCATAATAGGTGATTTGTTAATATAGGCGGAGTCATAATAAACGGATTCTACTGTATTTGAGTCAGCATAAGCATTATTTGTATATTGCATTCAATATCTACTCCTGAGCCCTAGGAATAATAAAATATATTTTGTCTTTAACTATGTTATCAGCTACTTTAGAACAATTTTTTTTGATTACAGATAGCATTCTTTTTGGGAATATTGTTAAATGAGGTTCTTAATATTGTATTGAAGCATACCATATGTGAAGCAAGACCTTTAGCAAGGGGACATCTCTATAATGAATATGGAATGCCTTCTTCCCATGCTCAATTTGTTTGGTTCTTTGGAATTTATGTTTTATATTTTGTTGTCATTAGGTGAGTTTTAATATAAGTACAGTTAAAACATATTATTTTACATTCTAATCAAAATGGGAATATCCCAAAAGATTTAAAGTGAAACAATAATAATTAAATGAATGTATATCTTATACGATCTATATGAACATTATTACTGACTTTTAGAATTACAACTATAATAATAATACAGTCTGAAGAACCAGAATATACTTTAGTTAAGAAAAAATGCATGAAAATTTTATTTTAATTTATTTAATAAAAAAAAATCTTACTAACAGGTTACATCACATCAATAATAATAGTATAATATCAGCATTGTGGAGGGTCATAATTGTTGGAGGCTGTATGACTTTAGCAGTGCTAGTATCCATTGCACGGATATACTTGCATTATCACACTACCTACCAAGTAGTGATTGGTGGATTGGTGGGCTTCACATTTGCAACTATATGGTTTACAATTGTGCACAGAATATTTACACCACTATTTCCTCAACTAGTTTCATTGTAAGTAAAATTTTAGTTCTCTATTAAATCCTACTTTCTATCCATCTTTCCCATTAATATCTATACTAATATTATAAAGCTGCAGAGTTTGTTTGTTTGTTTGTTTGAACGCGCTAATCTCTGGAACTACTGGTCCGATTTGAATGATTCTTTCAGTAGTTCATTTATCAAGGAAGGCAATATTTTTTTTTTAAATTAGGGATCCGTAATAATATTGCTATTTTGTAACACAAGGTGTAAAATCGAAAAAATATTTTTGCGTGCGCTGCAAAAACTATTGACAATAGAACAAAATGATGTATTACGGGTTTGTAGATCAATTAAGACCTACAAAAAAAGTCCGCGAGAACATATCTAGCTATCATGGTTTAATCACGATAACCGATTTTGTGTTCAAAATAATTATAAAATCGTCTGAAGAAAAAAACCTACGTTAAATATGTATCGTAATGTTAAAAACAAAAACAACCCTTAATTTTCACCCCTCTACCACCCATATTTTTATGGCGATACGAAGTTCGCTGGGTCAGCTAGTTATAAATATTTTTGTTACTCATTCATGCAAAAATGTCTGGACTGATTAAGATAAAATTTGGCACTATAGTTACCAGAGTAGTTCAATCTTACTTTGTTCCTTGATGTGGCATTTGCTTTCTACTTCCCAGGGTGACAGTGTTACAAATTGGCAATAGTCTGTTTCAGAGGCAGGCGGAAAAACGTACAATGACCTTATAGGGGAAAACAACCTTTTTTTCTTTTATTGATAAATTGTATAATTAAAAATTATATAATATTTATATTTTTTTTTATTTTTAGCATTAATCTGCTAATTTTAGATGAGGTCCTCGTTAGCGTAGTGGTTAGCGCAGCTGCCCGGATTGCGCAAGGCGCGTGTTTGATTCCCACCTGTTTTTATTTTTTCTAGTATATATTTTCTTGAGAAAAAATATCATAATTTTTTCGTTTTCCGAAATATGCGACATCTTACGCTTCTTTCGTGGTGATAGAAAACTTTTAAACGGTTTTGATGTCGACGGGGCCGGCTCCATATCGCTTGAAAAACGATATTCGTTGTAATACAAAACCAATATAACAAAAAAACTTAACACAAATCGTAACAAACAAAATTAACATAAACTTAACACAAAACCTAACAAACTAAATTGACAATAACAAAATTAATAACAAATGATCGAAATTAAAGGAGCGATAAACAAAATCAACCACACGCGAGCGCATTCCAAAGCGGAATGCGTGTTGCTCCGCTCCCTCCACAACCCGCGTCCACGCAAATCCCAAAGGTTTTTAAACTCTGAACGACCGCGTCGCTCAACTCACCCTGTACCACGAAACACGGTACGATGCTTGAGCGACACAGAAATATATGACGAGCGATACGTATCGTTTTCTGTTGACAGTAACAGAATACTTCGTGCCCATGCCCTTTTTTCCGCCTGCTTTAGAAACAGGCTATAGATATCATCACTATAATAAAAATCTAAGGTTTTATCTTCAAACTAAAATCAATTTTACATTACAGGAAAGTGTGCGAGATGTTGATGATAAGGGACACAACTCTAATACCAAACGTGTTGTGGTTCGAGTACACGACCTCGAGGCAGGAGGCTCGAGCCCGCGGTCGCAAGATGGCAGCACTGAAGCCGACTCAATGACGGTACGCATGCACGCGCGTCCCCGCTGCGCCGCTTAAACCGCGCACGTGACGACTCATCGCCACCACGCTGCTCGCGTTCATTGGTGGCATCCTTCTCATTAAATCAGAGTGTGTATGGTCTCTACTTCCATAGTGAACGTAAGTTTAAAGGAGTATGACTTAATATGAAGTAATAATAGGGATGATGACAATGATATAGGGTTTATGTATATATATATTATATGTATACTATAGGTAGCAGCACATATCTTGAGCAAAACCACAGAAAAATAAACTTGCTCAGTAGACGTTTTTCTATGTAAAATTGCTACTGCACAGGCTTTCGTGTCTATGTTGTTGCTCAAGAAGTTTGCCAGGTTGGTTTAATGAAATTCTAACGAGTCTGTCAGTTAGATTTATCGAAAATAATGGACATTTTTTTTATTATGTCAATCAAACAAAATATAACAAGAAAATAATATATTAATAAAGGACTTCAAAGTTTGGGAGTGGGGAGGTAGGGACGTCACTGCTAAGTAATTTTTTTACCGCGAAGTGACTCCATGCGAAATTTTAAACCAATATATCTCTGTAATATTTTGATCATGTTTATAAACAAATAATAATAATAACCTTTTGATAAATCCACCTGATGAGACGAAAATTTAGTCAACATCCCTATTCATCCTGCATTTATGTAATGATGTGTAAAGACTTATAGTTAATATTTTATATTCCATTGTATGTAATGCAATAATAGAATTTGTGGATATTTCACAAGGCATATATTAAGTGTAGATTTATTAATAGGTATTATGGAAAAGTTATATAAACTGGTCATATTGAAAGTTGAACTAACAACATACCGCTAATGTTTAGGCATCTCTCTCAGATTGATGGTTGTGTATGTTAATAGAGTATTAATTTTATTGTGACGAAACACCAAAATTAGAAAATAATTTCAACCTCAGGGATAAACAAGAGAGCTTTTAAATGTTATCAATATTAGTAGTAACAATTAAGTAGCAGCATTCAACTGTGAAAATATCTATGAAGTATTACTTTATGCAGGCATGTATGATTCAGTTTTAGTATTTGTGTATCTAAACATAATTTATAATAATGAGGTGTCAAAAATCGACACACGTTGGTACATATTTGTAGAGTTGAAATGTGATGACTTATATGGGCTTTATAAATGGTGTGCAATCTGTCGATGCCTGTTACTATAAGAGACACAATAGATCATTTTAATTTCTTAGTGTGCTTCTATGGATAGGTCAAATTAGTAATTCCAGTTTTGCTTTGTCGAGTTGTTTGTATTGAGTAACTGAATTCTAAAGATAAACACTACAATACTACTAGAAATAAAATACAATGACTGCAGACAGACTTTTCAAGTACGTATACAGGGCGTCTCACGGCTACCTCACACGGAGGGAAAGTATATTTTTTAATAATAACAGAAACTGCATTCACAGATTTTTTTAAATCGCGTGATACAACTGGGAATCAAACTCGTGAAATTTCAAAAAAAACGACATATTTTATGATTATCATCGAAAGGGTAAATCATAAGGTTTTTTTTGCTAAATAACATAGCATTTTAAATGCAAGAAAAGTAATTAAATGTATTTAACACAAACTAATATAAAATCGGATAATTTCTTAAAGTATCCACTAAACTTTTATACACATCGAGAAGGTACGTCTCTATCAGGATATCTTTCGCGATACCACCGCAAAGCTAATATGTCTTTAAGTAAGCTTCCATTAAATCCATTTTATTTTGATACGCCATGGTAAGAAAATTAACAAAAAAAAAATGCAAATAAACGAAAATGAAACTCACAAAAGAACAGAACGCTTGAAAATTTATGAATTCCATTTTCGAATTATTATTTACATAAATTTCTGCCAATCGCATTGTAACTGTGAGTTCAAAAAGAAATGCATAAGTACTACAGTTTGTATATCTTTTTATTATTTTTATCACGTAATAAGAAATACTTTTCATTTAAAATGCTATGTTTTTTAGCATAACATAATCCTTATGATTAACCCTTTCTATGGTTATCATAAAACATGTTTTTTTTTGGAATTTCACGAGTTTGTTTCCCAGTTGTAGCAGTCGATTTAAAAAAATCTGTATCAAAAATAAAATGATGTCTTCTTTGAGTTGAATATCAATATTTAATATACATACTTTCTCTCCGTGTGAGGTAGCCGTGGGACGCCCTGTAAGTATATACATTTTCATAATGTGTGATGGTACTTATCCAATTAATGACAGCTGTATAATATAATTTTATTATGGGTATTATTAAAGTTTCTTATAAAGCATATTTCAATTATTATGTAATATTTCAATATTTTTTATTCTTTGTAATTGTAAGTATATGTTGCAGAGCTTCTGCATTCTTTCTTTAATAATTTTTTGTATATGTAAAAAAAATATCCTATAACTTAAATTAGATACATTTTTTTTTCTTTTTTACATAATCGATATTCTATGTATTGTAATCACATCTACATAAGCTACTTGAATTTACAAAATAATACATAATTATTTAAAAAGAGCATAATTTGACTTGGATTAATATAGACTTTTGTGCAGTGGTATTTTAAATAATACTGCAATCGCGTATTTAATTAAATGTCGTGAAAGTGCAGTTAATAGTGTGTTATATTATCATACACAATTGTTTATTTTTATGGTTCTTCAGCTCCTGTGATTTAGAATTTTTGATAGTTTGTTTTAAACAAAGCCTCATAAATGGTAAATGTAAAATTCTAAGCTGACATTTTACTATATATTAGTATTGCAATGATTTACAAGTTTTTTTAAAGTATACAACAAAAATATTTCATAATATGCTGGCGCTTCACTTGGCTATTCGTATACTTACAACAGTCCGTATGTTGATAAGGAATGAAAAGGATGGACTGATGTCAAGTTTACAATTAGCAAACACGAATAGGCAAGTGAAGTGCCGGCATTAGACTAGCCACAAACCGCTCTGAGTTACACGAAAGTTGTTACATGTATCTAATCTCTATTCCATATTTTTGCTTTTATAAAAACAACATTCAGGTACGGTTTAAAAAAAACATGAATCTCCGGGGTATATGAAAAGAACCATATTTTTTTAGGAGCAGCTTTTTATTATTAAGTTTAAACGTTATGTTAAGTTTAAGTTTAAACTATTTTCGAAATATTCATTTTCAAACCTCAACCTTGGATTGACTAAATATAATACATATATGTATACCATTGACGTATCAAACCAGTAGACACAAAATCACACTCAAAAAGTGTCGGAACCAAAATTACGCACACGCGTCTATTGTGCGTAATTTTCAAACAGCCCTTTTAAACTAAACAAAAAATATGCAACTATCTTGGTGTTTCGTTTTCTATAGTATTGCTAATTAATTAAAATTTAATAGTTCTCTCTCGTACCGTAATCGAACTCTCTCTTTCTCTCTCGTATGCAATTGACATTGAACCTTACTGCCACGACATAACGTGTTCATTTGAACAAGTGTGTTAATGTTATCTGTACAATTTGATCTAAACGAGTATGTATAGCACAGCATGTTTTTTTAATGCGCTTTTCATAAGCGATTACGAGTCCTGTTTTTATACGTCAATGATATATACCTATAATATTTACATCAAACTACACACACACAAGCAATGTATCCAGATCCATCCCTAATTCTACACACTGTTTAATAAACTGTCTAGTTTCTCTACTTCTTAGTTTGCATTCGAACTCAAATATATTTTCTTGTTAGTTTATTGAAAGTTTCAAGATGTAAGTATATTTATATGACCCATTTTCTTGTTTGCTCTTGGGTGTATAAGGTAATTGCGTCTAATAAGGGCCGGGTTTTTGGAAATCGAAATAAATCAATGTTTGGAAGTGTGATGAAAACGTTGCACAAAAACAACACACGAATGTCCATTTATTTACAAAAAAAGTTTTTTAAAAGCTTGTTTATGGTCCTTATTGTGTATAGGGCTCGAATTAAGGTCCATGATTGAACTGCAAGATTTCAGACGTTGAGTATCAGAAAAAATAAATCTTTAGATAGCAACGGCTTTAAACTACTTTCAACTTCATGGCTTTCCAATATTAAAACGGTAATTCATATAATTTAGTATTGTGGCCCTTATAAAGTCATACGAAATATATATAAGTTGTAACTTATATATTTTCTAGCTATAAATGAAACAAATTGAAGGTTTGTGCAAATTTTTATTAATTTTACGAAAGACAATCACTAAAAGTTACTAATAAGTTATTTTTTCAGTCTTAATCTTGGGACCTTATTAGGTATAACACTTATTTAATCATAGTGTGGACCTTATTAAGTGTTTCTAACAGGTAACACGGTAACCACTGAACTTAAAGGTTCAGTGTATATATACTTATCCTTATTAAATATATTTTCTATTCAGTAATCAAAATAAACGTATATAAATGCCACTTGCTAGGCCAGGCTGCTTATTTACACTCATATAAGTCATTTATGTAACTGATCATACCTATTTTAAAATATCGTAAACCAATAAGGGCCGGCCCTTCTTTGTAGACAACAACTTGGACCTTCTTAAGCAATCACATGTATCCTGAGAAAATGAAACAAAATTTAGATAAATAAGCAATAATTTTAGTAACTTATCCCTTCAATCCACGTTCTGAAAGTATTTTAACATTACTATTGCAAAATTATTACATAACACCGAGTTTTATTATTGAAACAAAGCAAAATTGGATCAGAATATTTTATTCGTTCAGTCACGTCGACTGCACCTGAGGTTACACACAGAGCCACTGCCAAAATGGCCGGCGCGGAGGCAATGAACGTCAGTGCGCTTTTATGATTGGTTACTGGGGAGGCGCTGCGCAAAATCAGTTTTGGTTTAAATATTAAGTGCGGGAAGTTTGAAAAGATGGACCTTATTTGGAACCGGCCCTTTTTAGGCGCACTTACCTTATTGTGAATTTACATTCTTTGCGGTGAAGGGCTCCTTAACAGCGCGCGGTAATTAAGATTTTCCCTTACTTTCGTGTTTTCTGTTTTTCCAATTCAATTTATTAATTAATTTCAAAATCTTTTTGATTCCTTGTGTTACATCTTCCGGACCAAATCCGATTTTAGGACAAATAGTTTTTCCGAGGCCAAAGCAGTTCATCCTTTAGGCGATAGAATAAACCGGTACAGACTAGGCTAAACTGATTCGTCATGGCCAATAGGAGAAACTAGTCTAACCTAGATTGAACTAGTTGAGCCTAATACGAATAAGTACACATCAGGATGAACTAAGTATGGTTTAACCTAGTCTGAAGTTTCAGTAAAAAAAGTATCTAAAAACATCCGAAATAAATATTGACTTGAATTTGTTCATTCTAAACAAAAGAATATGTTTCATAATACATGTTAATAAGAGTTATTTTTGAATGCAAGAGTAAGATATCACTGGTTCAGCTGATTAAATAACAATTACTAAGATAGTTGTAGTTATTTCTTTTGCGCGTTGTACAAAACAGCCATTCATACAAAAAATATGTAATTTTTATAATTTTTTGTAGATTCTCAACATTGAGTTTAGTCTTTCTCTAAAAAGCAAAAGTACCAATTACAGTTTATTTCTTTATGATTATCTATCTATTTTAAAAAAATCTGTTTCCGAATGCAACAATTATTATTATAACTGAAGTAAAAAAGAGCTTGAAATCGGAAAAATTGCTTTTAAGCAATGGATTGACCAAAAGAAATAGAGATTAATTTTTAAAGAATGGTTTTATGTTGAAGCCCTTCATCTCTGAATCCTCATCATGCATGACCTGATAGAAAATATTTCTAAAACTATTTAAATACAAAAAAGATTTTTTTTAGTTTATTTATAAATAAAATGTATTTCCGATTTTGTATAGGTGAATTTATCTAATGATTATTTTGAGTAAGTATTTATATAATAAATTTTTGAAGCTCCTAATGGTTTTTCATCAACATTATTTTATTCTTCAGAGCCTTTCATTGATTCAAGAGTAGAAACTTTGTTCTCCTGAAAATCAAACTTTAATGAGTGTTATTCTGAAATTATGCGCACCTAACTATATAGGTACATAAATCTGCACCATTTTTAAGATCACAGCTCATTAGACGCACCCTACCAGCACCGCCTCAACTCGTGTAGTTGATATTCTTTGTATGGTCTTGAGTGGATCGCGCGCGACATCTATAAGAGCCAATTCACAGTTTGAAAGATTAAACATCGTAAAAACACACGTGTAAACCTAGTGACGACGTCTAAATAAATAAATAAATATTTCCAACACACCAATTAGCATAGCCCTAAATTAAGCACAGTAAGGCTTGTGTTATGGGGTGCTAGGGTTACGGATAGAAAACATATAAGTACTGTACATATATAAGCATATTTATATATAAACGACATGTTAAACATCCATGAATAGAGTATAAATGCTCGTATTCATCACACAATCATCAGCCCCCACCGGGATTCGAACCCGGGACCTCTCGAATCGGCGACACCATGAAACCCGGCATACAAACCACTCGGCCACGGAGGTCGTCAAACGTCTCACACACTACTTAATTTTCGCTGACAATGCGGAGTCAATAATGCGGCTGCCGGCGTGACGTCCACCTGTGGCCCACCCGATGATAGCAGGTTAGTTAGTTAGTTAGTTTTTCAGGGCGGTTTCCGCACTTAGTCCTAATCATTGGACCATTGTGCGTGTCTTGAAACATTCCCGTTTACTCCAGCCAGCCTAGGTTAGTCCAGAAGGAAAGCAGTCTTGACAGACTGCTGCAAGCTTCCGGAAGCGATGCGGGTGACTGGAGAAGTCGTGCCCGTTGGTCGGCCACACTCCTGCATTCCATAATGACATGTTGTGGCGTTTCCTCTGCCTCCATACATCCTCTGCATAGGGGACTGTCTGTTAATCATAATGTGTATAGGTGCTTGTTCAGGGGACAATGACCAGTCAGGGTTCCCATGACTATGCGGAGTTTGTCCGTATTAAGTCTGGTAAGGGTGCGGGCAAGTCTCTTGTTTGCCTCCGGAACTGCGTTTTTCGTTTGCCGGCATCCTTCACCTGTTTTCCACTCAGTCAAGTGTAGTGTCTGAGTTCTTTCACGCAGCCACGTCTTTATTTGGGCCTGAGGTATGGGCAGAAGAGGTTCCGGACCATACACTTTTGTGTCTGCTCCTCTCTTAGCCAATTCGTCTGCTGCGTCGTTTCCGATTGAGTTGCTGTGTCCTTTTATCCATTGCAGAGTTACCGTATTGGTTACCGCAATGGATTGAAGTGCATTGTGGCACTCCATTACCAGGACAGAGTTTATTGTGTTGCTACTTAGGGCTTGAAGCACGGATGCACTGTCAGAGATGATCTTAATGTTGAACTCTCTGATGTCTCTGGCTGCAACCGCCTGTGCCGCTCTGGTAATGCCAATACATTCCGCCTGGAAGATTGTGCTTAGTTTGTCTAAGGTTGTGAATATTTTTATATTTAGGTCGTTCGAGAAGACACCGGCTCCAGTACCAATGTTGGTTTTGGAGCCATCTGTGTATATCCTAACTTCCCCGGCGCCAGAGTAGTCTACCTTTTCCGCGGTAAGTTGGATGTTGTATCTTCGATCAAAGACGTGTTGATCCAATATTCTATCCATAGGTGCCTCCAGGAGTGGAATCTCCTTCATGCACCTTTGGAGAACATTGGAGTGTGTTGTTACAGTGTTTGATCTCCATAGGCCCAAAGATCTTAGTCTCAAGGCTGCTGCTATTGCCTCTTCTTGTATGACCAGGTCTAGAGGTCTTAAGTTCAAGAGGTATTCTAATGCAGCAGATGGAATTGTTCTCATGCATCCAGTTGCTGCTACGCTCGCCAAGCGCTGCAGACTTTGGAGTTTAGATTTCACTGTGGTCAGTTGGGTCCTGGGCCACCAAACAACTGAACCGTAGGTTATTGCTGGCCTGATAACTGCTGTGTATAGCCAAAGAGTGATCTTTGGACTAAGACCCCATTTCTTACCAACTAATCTTCTACACTGGTTAAAAGCTATGCAGGCCTTCTTTGTTTTAAATTTAATATGACTCGCCCAGTTCAATTTGTTATCAAGGATTACGCCCAGATATTTCACTTGTGTTGATAGGGAGAGTTTGGTATTAAACAGTTTTGGTAACTGTAGTTCGGGCAGCTTCCTTTTGTTGGTGAAAAGGACAAGCTCTGTTTTATTCGGGTTTACTGACAAATCATGTTCGTCACACCATTTTTCCACAATCTGAAGGGCAAAACGCATAACTTTGCACAGGACGTTTTCAGCGTTCCCATTTATCAGAATTGTTAGGTCATCCGCATAACCAATAGTAGTGTATCCTCTATCATTCAGATTCCTTAGGAGGCTGTCTACTACTATGTTCCAGAGAAGTGGTGATAGGACTCCCCCTTGAGGACATCCTCTTACTACCTTCGCACGCGTGGAATTATTCCCCACTATCTGAACCGCCCTTTTGCCGACCAGTTCGGTGATCCAACTCCAGGTAACTTGGTCCACCTTGAGTTTTCTTAGGGCGTGGTTAATGCTGTTCGTTTTGTCAAAAGCACCTTCTATGTCTATGAAAGCTGCCAATGTTGACATTTTGTTTGTGATTGCCGACTCTATTTTATGGACCACCGCATGCAGTGCCGACTCTGTTGATCTGCCTTTTCTATAGGCGTGTTGTTGAGGGTGCAGCGGGACCTTACTAAGTGCTCCATCCCTAAGGTGTCGGTCTACCAGTCTTTCCAATGTTTTCAAAAGGAACGAGGTTAGACTAATTGGTCTGAAGGATTTGGCTTGTGTGTAATCGTCTTTGCCCGGTTTCGGTAAGAAGACTACTTTTGCCTCCCTCCATGGTTTCGGTATATATTTGAAGGCCAAGCAGGCCTTAATAAATGATAGCAGGTTGTCAACGCGGCGTAAATTTTGCTTGCCGACCACGAGTGAACGTCACGCGACGAAGCGGTGCCTTTTTTTTGAGTGTGTATGCTGTTGGTTGCAGATGACCTTTACAGCGTCACCGGGTTTGGGGACGGTGAGATCCTTAGTGGAAATCTCAAGCCGAGAATTGGCGAGTGCCTCTAGAGGTATTCCAGGCGAATGGCATCTCCTCACGGGGGAGTCTCCTCTCCGTCTGGACTTCTGGAGCCTCTAGACTACTCGAACTTGAGGGCGTCTCTGAGACTCTGACCTCGGCTCTAGTTAGCCGTTGTCGTGGGGGGCACGAAGCGGTGCTGTGTGGCTCTAATGAGCTGTGACCTTAAAGCTTTAAACATTATGCCAATGGTTTTTTTGCTCTAAGAAAGCTATCACAACTAAGCAGGCTTTACTATTTTATGTTAGTGTTAAAATCGAACAAGTACTTCACGTTACGGGCACTGCGCTTATAATAAGCGCTCACTAATTTGCGCTTAGTGTCGACCGACAGTCGACTCGACAAGCACTTGGCCTGTTTATTTCTTATCTTTTGAAGTAAGTACTTGAAATAGATACAATGAAATATCAAATATCGACGTACTTGAATCATTATTAGTTCTGTGATTATCTGCTTCATGAATGTGACAAGCTGATCTGAATCGCTTCCAAGTTCTGCTTCCGATCGTCGCCGTAGTACTCTTAACCTTTTAGCTTCGTCTTCATCAGTATACAGATCACCCGTACCAGCAGTACTTTCATTGTCGGCTTCGTAATCACTTGAAATACCTTCTTGAATTAGTATTCAATGTCATATAAGTATATTTTTAATATACATACCTACCTACTAACTAGTTGAAGTTGAAAAATACGCAATTTGGTAAATTAACTATTAAGTTTTATATTTGACGTAAACAAAGTTGGAAATATAATTAAATAATAGTTTTATTTGGTATTTACATAAAAGACACACAAGACCTAAATATATTTTTACAAGACAGCTAACAATGTCAACTACTCTCTTTTATAGTCATAGAGATCTATGAAGAGTGTAAAGACTCCTTATTATTCTGAACATCCCCAGGACTTTTAGCGACTGATACAGTTCAAACCTTGGAGTCCAATTCTTTTACTTAGATCTCGCAGTCTTGGTCCAAAGGGAGGTTTTGTGAACATATCGGCGAGTTGCTTTTCCGAGGAAACTTGTTTCACAGATAGTTCACCCTTGGTGACACATTCTCTTATGAAAAAATGCTTTATATGTTTTGTTCTTTTATGATATTCGCAGGGAGGATTTTCTGATAATTTTATCGCAGACTCATTATCTACATATATGACAGGCTTTTCGACTTCGACGGTCTGAGGTTCTTCCATACGAAATAAATGATTTTCTATCTTGATGAAAATTGAGAAAGAAAAATAGTTGAAAGAAATACTAATTTAAAAAATTTTAATGAACGACGAACGTCACGTTGCCGTAGACCCCTCGTCCCCCCTTGTCACACTTAGCAAGACCCCTCCCCCCCTTGTATGCGAACGTATTTTATGAACGGCCCCATACCGGAACTATCAATTGTCTCATTTTGGACAGCTTGTTCTTCATCATTAGTATTTCTAGGTTCGCTGTAAATTTTTACTTCTTCCTTGAGTGTCCCATAAATTTCGGGGAAAGGATTACTTCTGTAAGATCCTTTGTCATCGTCATAGAACATTTTTCTTAAAACCCGTACATCTCTGGAAATTAAAATTCGTCTTTTGCATGGTACATAAATTCTAAAAGCTTTGGATACTTATGAATATCCCACGAACATTCCAGGGATGGCTTTTGAAGCAAATTTTTGACGACCTTTTTCTTTTATTAAGATGAAGCTTTTTTCACCAAATATATGTAAATGGTTTATGCAGGGTTTTCTTCCTACCCACAATTCAAATGGTGTTACTTGTCCAATACTTTGATTAACGCTCCTGTTTGATAAGTAATTGGCTATGTGAACAGCTTCTGCCCACAGAAAGACAGACTCTAACATCATACATCTTGCCTTTTCAATCAAGGTTCTATTTTTTCTTTCGGCAATGCTGTTTTGATGAGGGGTGTATGGTGCTGTCAATCTTCTTGATATACCATTCTCTTTCAGGAATATGTTAAAGGCTCGGTTAGAATATCCTGTGCCATTGTCACTTTGTAGGAATTTTATTTTATTTCCAGTAAAGTTTTCAACAATTTTCTTATATTCCTTAAACTTTTCAAGTACTTCATTTCTGTGTTGTATAAAATATACAGGGTGAAATTGAATGTTTCTATGAAACTTCGTGTGATTGATGGGTTACATGTATAGAGTATGCCTGATTTTTTTCGGATTTTTTAAAATAATTTTTTTCGTTTTTTAATTTTTTATTTGGTTATTTTTTTGTCATTTCTTCCTTATGAGTAATTATTCATTTTAAACACGTCTACATAGAAGTTATAAAGCAACTTAAAATAAGCACTACTAAAAAAACGGAAACTTAATGAATGCCTTCATTATGCCTCCAGTCGAGATCAGCGCCGGTCGGGGCGACGACCGGCGGCCGCCTGTAGGTACCTAACTACACGCACAGATGACTCGGCGCTTACCTACTCGCTTTGATCCACACTATTTAAAAACAATACAATAAAATAGTCTTAGATGCTATATTATAATTATTTATTCACTGATACACAATACCTTTGAATATTATTTCATAAAGCACAGGTAATTAATCAATAAAATAAATCTTCTTAAAATTAAGAGCAAATCGGTATAACTTACGAGCTTAGTGAAGGAAGGAACTCTTCGTGTCTGATTTGCCCACGTCATGAAATTCCGAACACATTTAATTACAGCCACAGTCACACATACACACACACACATAATAATATGTTGTTTTGCGGCAAGCACGGGCGGGCGGCGCGCCGCACGCTGGCAACTAGCGCCGGTTGCGGCGTCTTTGATGATGTGAATTCCGCCCACCTCCCCTCTTCCCCGCACGCGGACGTTTGCTTTGATTGCATGCAAAACGCAGTCGCAAGTATATCAATCGCGCGTGAGCGTGCGCATCTTTTGACTTGGTGACATACACTGTGATAATTTCATTATGCCTCGGTATACAAACCAAGAATATTTAGAGATGGTGTACTGCTATCGCGAGTGTGACGAAGTAGGTTTGGTTTACGAATGAGTCCCTAAACCATAGAAGTTGCATTTTGTGCAGTGAGTAGTGATAGGGACACTTTAAAAAAGGTGAAAAGACGTCCGCAAACAGGCAACCTTTGTTTGCAGCAAAATTGTGGTTTAGAGCAACAATTTTGCAGATAATAATTCAAGTCTCTTTTTATTGCTAGTGTAAATACTTTTTGATTAGAAACAACTTATTGTGTACTACCAGTGTGATTGATTTGATAAAAAGTTCTAGTGAAAAAAATGAATATGTTCCTCGTTCCTCGTTGTACCTACCTAAATCGCCTGTCTCGTAAGTACTTTTGAATACCTGGTTATAAATTTCATTCTTGGGGTATTAAGCAATAAGTATTTCTTTTTGTTTAACATTTGCCTATTTCCAATCGTGACAAAATTATTATTAACTTTTAAAGTTTTTCTCTGCTTAAGAAAAGATGACATTTGTGCTTATTATTTCAATTTCAATAAAGGCATCTAAGACGATTTTATTGTACCTATTGTGTGGAATCAAACGAGTCAATTGAGCTCTGTGTATAGTTAGGTAGCTACTTACTCAACGGCTGGCGGGCGCGGTCGGTCGTTGACCCGCGGTGGAATTTCAATGTTTTTCCGTTTTTTAGAAGTGCTTATTTATTAGTTGTTTTTCACTGGATATGTAAGTTTGTTTGTTTAAAATGAATAACTACTCAAAACGAGGAAAGGACATAAAAATACACAAATTATAAATAAATACATGAAAAAAATATACATCAAAAAAATCCGAAAAAAGACAGGCATACTCTATACACATAACCCAACAATCTCACGAAGTTTCATAGAAACATTCAATTTCACCCTATATATAACAGTATCTTGAAAAATCATCAATGAATGTAACCATGTATTTATTTCCATTTAATGAAGCGGTTTGCATGGGTCCACATACATCGCTGTGTACAATTTCGAGTCGCTGATTGGTACGGGTAATTGTACTTATTTTTCCTTGAATACAAATTTCACAATCGTCCAATTTATTTTTATTGTCAAAATTCAACCCAATCAGTAAATTATTACTCAAAGCATGCTTCATGTTCTTCTCTGACATATGTCCTAATTTTCTATGCCATAATTGTATATCATCAGATTTCTTTTCTTTTGTCTGAGTAACATTAGCTTTTTCCCGACGATCAGTATTACTATTTTTGGTACGTAGATAATATAAGCCATCGTTAGATCTTGTAAAGATTATTTCAACATCGCGCTTTTTATCCTTTACGATTGCTCGTTCTTTAGTAAATGTTACAGTATGTCCAGCGTCAGTTAGCTTTCCGACTGATAGAAGGTTAGTACATAGACTTGGTACATAAAGAGCATTTGCTATGCCTATTAGTCCTTGCTTAGTCTCTATTTGGGCCGGACCTGATCCTTTGATTTCATCCGTGTGCTCTTTTGACGCTAATTTTAATGTTTGGTTCACATTTCTCATATTTGTAAATGGTTTATCTGAAAATGTCATGTGAGACGTGCATCCGCTATCCAATATCCAACCGTTTTTCATTTCTTGTTGATTTAAAGTAAAACATGTAAAGTTATTCTTTTCCTTTTGATTTAAACTATTTTGTTTATAGTTTGAATTTTTCTTGTTCTTTTTATTTTTATTTTAAACCAACATTTTTCTTGTTCGTGTCCCTTTTTCTTACATATTTTGCAGAATGCATAAAATGTTTCTTCGACATTACTTGTACTTGTATTAGGTTGGATGTTTCTATTGCGAGCATCACTTTCTTCAATTATTTTAATTTTTAACTTTTCTGGACTGATTAATGAGTCTTGCGATTCTATTGCAATTCTAAAATTCTCATACTCATTTGAGAGGCTATATAGCACCATTATGGACAATAAGTCACTATTGATTTCTATATTTAAGTCTTTTAGTTTGTCTACCGTATCCATGAAGTCCTTCAAGTGTTCACGAACATCTGCATCAATGCCTAGTCTAGTCAATATCAATTTCTTTAATAGAGTTGCTTTTCTGGCAGGCCCTTGACTAGCATATACATCTTTGAGTTTTTCCCAAAAGTCTTTTGCATGAAGACAGTTCTTCACTTCTTTTAATTCAGTTGATAAGATCAGTAACAGTTACTCAGCTTTCGCAAGTTCATCATTTTCTTTTTCAGTATCTGATTTCTCATTAGGATACTTCGTTACATATTTCCATAATTTGTTTTTTATTAAATATGCTTTTGCATAATTACCTATGTGTCATAATTTTCTTTTCCAAGTGGAGAAATTTTTACGATCGACATTTTATTTCCTGTAAACGCACTGCTACCATATTAAGTTTTATATTTGATGGGCAATTAACGTAAACAAAGTTGGAAATATAATTAAATAATAGTTTTATTTGGTATTTACATAAAAGACACACAAGACCTAAATATATTTTTACAAGACAGCTAACAATGTTAACTACTCTCTTTTATAGTCATAGAGATCTATGAAGACTGTGAAGACTCTTTATTACTCGTGGTATAATAAAAGGCTGTCCTCTTAACATTAACTTAGATTATTGTCGAATAATGGGGGGATAAACCATCATGGAGTAACTTAATACTGTACATGTGCAATAAAATAAATAATATTTTTAACGGTAAGAAATACTCTCCAAAACATTATATACCTATCATGTGGTCAGAACTTTCTTTGTTCAATTTTGAATCGTCCAAGTTTTCCCTCTTCCCTAAATTTCACTTGTGAATAAATATGAAAAACACTACAACATTCAAGTAATAACAATGATACATATGATAAGATCTTATACGATGTTATTGAATTGAATACTGTTAAAAGAGATTTACCTTATATACCTATTACTAGCATTATTATTTAAAAGTTCTTTCAAATGTTCCATACAGTTCTACGTATTGTATAAATAGTGTTTCCTGGTTCTGAAGGTTGTATTGATTACGTAAGATTAGAGCTATACCTAAATTATATAACCAGACTAAGTGGCCCGCCCTCGCTTCGCTTCGGTGTAGAGCGTAGTGTAGAATTCGATTTTTTCTCACTCTTTAAACTTTCCCGAGACCTCCACAAACATTTAAGACCAAGAAAAGATAAATCCGTTCAGCCGTTCTCGAGTTTTAGCGAGACTAACGAACAGCAATTGATTTTTATATACCTAGTCAGGTCATAAATTCTGTTTTTAATATAAAATAATTGACACAAATTTATTCATTATATAACCATTTATATACCAAAATGAACTTAACAAAACATAGATTCTTATGACAATAAACTTTATTCAAAATTACCTCCGTGATTTTGAATACAGGCCTTCAATCTGCTCAGCCAGTCGTCTATCGCAGAACGAACGAGGTCCATGTCAATATCGGCGGCTGCCTTAATCAAGGATGTCTTGAGTGACTCCAAATTGGGATGAGGCTTTGAGCATGCCTTTTCCTCCAAGTGTGCCATATCTTGTAATCTAACGGACTCAAATCTGGACTGGAGGAGGGCCAGTCTTCGTGCCGGATGAAGTCGATTTCACGCGCCGCTAGCCAGTCTTGTGTGCTTTTCGCTCTATGAGCTGGCAACGAATCTTGTTGGAATACCCAGTGCCTGTTATTGAACATGGTATGAGAAACAGGTTCCACAAGGTTCGTCAGAAGTGTATTTTGATACACAACTGCATTCATTTTTACACCTTTCTCAAAAAATATACCTTTGTTAAGCCCCAATAAGAAACTCCCAACCATACCATGAGCGAGGATGGAAAATGACCTCGTTGGACACGCGGAATAAGGTTGCTCGCTGCTTCAGTACTGTGTGCGTACACCTTATCATTTTATTTGTTGTAGCTCTCTTCTACGGTAAAAAATTTTTCATCCGAAAAAATAATTTTCCGATATTTTTTTCCCGCGTACCGCTGCAACAAAGCGCGGCATCTCTTCAGTCGCGGTCCATTAGACGAGAATTCAAACGATGCCCTGTTTTTCTTCGATATGCCCGAAGCCCTAGTCTTTTCACCGTGGTTCTGCTTAACCCCATCTGAAGGGCCAACAGTTTCTGCTTACGTTTGGGATTTCTTTGAATTCGCGCCTTCACAGCTTTTATCACTGCTGGAGTCCTAACAGACCGAGGTAGACCACTTTTTGACCTGTCATCTACACTAGAGTCTTCATTGTATCGTTTGATGGTACGATAAACGAATCTTTTGGTTATATTCAATTTTTTAAAATTTGAGTTGGCGCGTAACCGCAAAGATGCAACGCAATAACTGCAACACGGTCTCGTTTAAGCGTCCACTCCATATTTAAAAATGAGTAAAATTCTAAAAAGTATACATTTTTATTTTCATGAACAATTCGAAATTCGAATTCAATAAACTTTTTTGTGGCCAGCATTCTAAAAGAAAAGTTTTTACTGTGTGACAATACTTATGACCTGAATGTGTAGATTACTGTGACTAGTTAATGATGAACACAGATGAAATAATTATATTATAATTATTTCATCTGTGTGCACCTACCACCTATCTGAGATAGTAGCTGTACTGTACCTACGTTGTTCTAGAAAAACTGTATCAATCTCATGGAATCAATCTAATCTACCCTAATATTAAGGACCTATTATACTTACTGCTACAGATAAAGCAGGATACCATAGACGTGACTGAATTACTATCCTCTGTCAAGCTCTCCAACCATTGCTGTAAGTAATAAAAATGAATTTCGGTAATTTTCACAACAATCATATGGAGGAAGTGGTATGGGTTCTAGATATACCTAGTTTAAACAAACTAATGGCTCAATTACACTTGGTCGCTAGCCCATAATCGGATTCACGAAAGACATTACTCGAATGTAAATTCTTTCGTGCACCCGAAGACTGAAAGCTTCGGGTGCCCAACACCCGAAGCAATATTTACACTGGAATACAGGCTGAAAGACGGTGTCGAGTAATAAAAACGAAAACTACCCGATTACGTGTGTACTCTACTCTGTTCATTTACACTATAGTTTATGTAGGGTAGTTTTGGTTACTCGACACCGTTTTCCAGCCCGTATTCCAGTGTAAATATAGTCCCGAATGTTTTTCATGCACGGGAAGATTAATGGAGCCATTAGCCGTTTACCCGAACTCCATTGGCAATCGTATTCGGGCTAACGACCAAGTGTAATTGCGCCATTACATATTAGATACATAAACAACCATGACAGCTAGGAAAATGCAACTGTTCATCATACACTATTAACTATAATAGGGTACTTGACAAGTTTTAGATAACGATCTCACGTTATTGACTAATGTTTATGGAGTCCGTAAAAAGGATGGAAATTCATCATTCTGTTGTGTATTTTAGTAAAAATAACCAAATCAAAAACTCTATTTTCAAGATGCCGCGAAAACGTATTTCTGGACAATATGGCGTCTCACTAGTGTGTGACGTCACCCGACTGTTATTAAAACGACAAACGATAGAGGGTGTATTCCGTAATATAAACCAGTACGCTTGCCAGCGGTAATGACGTCATGATTTCGACGCCATATTGCACTGGTGTAGTAGTAGTGTTGTCAATATGGCGTCGAAATCATGACGTATTGGCAACACTATTACTACACCAGTGTAATATGGCGTCGAAATCATGACGTCATTACCACTGGCCAGCGTACTGGTGTTTGATTCGGAATGTAATGTCACTTTATCCGGAAGTTTACTTGCTTGTGACGTCATTTTAGGCTCCGCCAATCCCAAGTGTTTTGGGTCACGTGACAATAGATAAGAAAACTATTATCTTTTTCGTAAGTTTTTAGCAAAATTATGTTTTTTTTTAAATAGTGAAAGCCCCTGCCAAAATTCATTCTTAACACAGATGCTAACAATTGGCACTTTATTTTTAATATGTACTGTCAAACACCCTATTGCCTACTCTGTGATTGGAACCCGGGGCCACTGGATTCGCAGTCAGAATCGCTAACCGCTTGGTCAAGCAGTCCGTCATATAAAATAAGCTAATGTCTAAAGTAACTTAGTATTTAGGTAGGTATGTCCATTTAAGTATCTCTTTACAAAATAACTACACTTTGCACTAACTCTTTACTTCTTAATTATATTCAACGAAAGAAAACACACTGTTTAATAATATCTTAGTTTTTACCTTATCTCTTGGTATCAGCCGGTCGGCTTGTTTCATAAATGTAAAATTTGCCTTTTGGCCAAGATCTACCAAATGCCTGGTTACTTCTGTTGTTGACATCGCCTTATTTAACATTCCTTGCAAGGTGCTGGGGTCTTTTTCTAGTATGCCCGGGAACATTATAGCCAATGGCTTCGTTTGAGGGCCATCCTCACCATCTACCTAAATTAACAGTAAGTTATAGGCTTTGGTTATTGGTTTACAATTTCATACTTCCGTAATTGCCTAGTTTTACAAGCTACTTTACACCTATCTTATGTTGTTAGTCAATGTAGTGTCTACTTCCATTCAAGAGATAAAGCCCTGCAACAGACAGATATACAGCGAAAGCATATAATAGGGTTCCGTTTGTCACTCTTTGGATACGGAAACCTTAAAATGGGAAAAATCTTCAGGACTTTATTCCCCCAATGAACGAACTATTTAACTATGCCACAGGTTACTTGCATTTAATTAAGTACCTAGTTAATTATATTATTTAAGGTGGACTACCTAACTTATGTCAGCAAAAGATCATTGAGTTGTGGCGTATACTTAAATAAAATTTACGAGCTGCAGTTCTTCTTCCCCATCAGACAAGTTTGATGAAGATTTTCCAGGTCCTGTGTTTGGAGTCTGCAGTATATCAACCCATTCTGAGTCTTTGGCTGCTAAGGGACAAAGAGGCTCGGGAGACTCCTCCGACAATGGCATGGCATCAGAACATCGTCTCTGCAATTTATATACATTTATTAGAAAAAAGAGACCATTACAACTATATTTATCTATTTTATCGAAAGGCGGCTCTTGACATTACCGGCCCATATGGGCGCGTGCGCTTATGAGCGCGTGCTCTAGGAAAGGAGCTCGAGAATGCCCCGAACTGCCCAAACCTCATGTGCCCGTTGAGAGTTTTGGAGGCCACTATAGAAAACGTTAGTTTCGTTTAAGTACATACAGATTTAGCAGGACCTTTAAAAAAATTATTATTTATTGGCACGCCCTAGCTTCGCTTCGGTGTAGAGCTGTAGTATAGACTTTAGTTTTTGTTCTCAGGCTTATATTATTATACACAATGACCTTGCGTGATGATAGTGAAAATTTTCTTGCGTAGTTTAAGACCCGTTGTTGTAGACAATGTACTATTGCTCTGCTGTTAAAAAAAGTGTGTCCACCTTACGATTAGTCCATGCCCTTATTATTAAAATGACGCAGTGGTTTGTACACACCCATCACGTTTATCACTCATAATTATTGCACAAATCGTCGCGTCGGACGTTTTTAATGTGATTCTGATCATAGAAATTAATAATACATTTTGATTTGACTCATCACGCGTGGCGTGGCATCGGCGTCGGCTGGAGTCGCATTCCATAAGTCTGATTCGGTCCTATTGTTTATTTATTTTTTGGTTGAATATATTTTTGTGTTGGATATTGCATTTATCAAGGAAGGCTATGGGTTATATAACATCACGTTATGACCAGGAAGTGCGGAGCATAGATGAAAATGCAAAAACGGGTCAAAATATTCAATTTGTGAGCTTTCGTAGCGTGCGCTGGGTAAACGGTTCAAGTTACACAAAAATCATGTATAAAAGTATATCAAAAATATGTAAAAATGTATATAAAAAATATGTAAATTTGTATATCAAAAATATGTAAAAATGTATATCAAAAATATGTAAAAATATATATCAAAAGTATGTAAAAAAGTCCGCGACAGCATATGGCCATCTTTTAAGTTAAACTCACTATAACCTTTTTCCTCAAATTAACGCGGGTAAAACCGCAGGGGATCTCTAGTTGTGACATAACTGTAATAGCTAGACATATGGTAGGTATTGCAAACATTTTTGTAGATGTTGATGTCTTTATTGCTAAATTTTTTTTAAAGGTCCTTTTGTTAAATATCTAAGTACATAAATATTTAACAAAAGAACCTTTAAAAAGTACTAGCGGCCGCCCGCAAGTTCGTCCGCGTTAACTAAGGATTTTTTTAAAAGCCCTCGGGAACCTACATTTTTTCGGGCATAAAAATTATGCTGTCTCATCTCAATCCATTTGATAAAATATATGTGTGCCAAATTTCATCCAAATCCGTTTAGCCGTTTTTGCGTGATTGAGCAACAAACATACAAACTTTCACATTGTAATATTAGAAGGAAATAGGAAAAGTAGGATACGAAACCTGCGTTAAGCACATTGACCTCTCGAAGGGCCCATTCTGCAGTAGTGCAGATTCCGCACTAGGTCCAGACCCAGCGCGGAATGAGCCTAGTGCCGGGAGTTTCTCTGGTCCATTGGTCACCTGGCCCTCGCTCCCGGTCCATCACTCACCAAACAAAACTTTAAACCAAATCCACAACCAACGCCGTCGTGGTCGCCGACCCCTCTGCCCATCAAGCTACTTAGCTAGCTGTCTCGCTAGGTTGTGACGGTAAATTTTGCGCCTAGCCTCCGTCCTAAAAGGAACTTCTTTCCAAAAACATGATAGCGAGAACGCACACAATATAGGCGGCTTTCTTCCTATGACGCAATCTCTTGCAGGCAACCCGTAATGGAAGAGAGGATGGAAACTGCTGTTGGTGTTGTGTTTCTGTCAGGTAGACCACGGCGCGAGTGATATTGTTGGTAGGTACCTATCGCTAACATCTTTAGGCTATATGGTGGCCGCTTACCACCAGGCGGGCACAATGCCTGCTTGCTACCCTTTTAACAATGCTCTTAGCTTAAAAAAAAGATAAAAAACGATGGAGGGTAAAACCAAAATGTATTTATGGCAATTTGGTGTTTATTTTCGTCTTTCAATTAGTGGTTCATATACAGGGCCGTCTTTAACCTATTGGAGGCCCTGGGCATATTAGGATAATGGGGCCCCAATGACTTTGATGTGGATTATGACTTCAAATGGAGCGAGTCATAGCCATGAGTGTACTACTGAAGATTTTTCTTTAAAATGTGTTTGTAAATGTGCTTAGTACACTTCAGCATGCTTAGATAATTTTAAATATACATATAATGGTATATGTATATTTAAAATTATCTAAGCATGCTGAAGTCGGAAAGCGTAATTTTTGGGCGAGAGTAGAATAGCTTCGCTTATGTAAAAGCTAGTAAGTTGGTATTAATTTAGGTTCGATTTCATCGAATTATATAAGTTTTTGGTAATCAATATTGGTTATCGTTTGGTGATCTGACAGGAACTAAGGACTTTGTATTTGATCTGAGGGAGGCCCCTAACGATCGCGGTGCTCTGAGCACTTGCCCAAAGTGCCCACTCGGAAAGAGGGTCTGTTCATATAATAAGTATTATGCTCTTAGAATAGATACCTGGGTAATTAATATTTTATTAATATTACTGAGCTTTCTGGTTTCGTGGTTGATGAGTTCTGTTTCGGCCTTTTGTATTTGGAAATAGCATTTTATAAATAACATCAGCAATACATGTTTTATGTATTAACTTTAGGTACGTCTTTAGATCTTCTTGTAGGTAATAAATTAAATCATTAAATACATACAACTTTAACTAGTGATTACCTTCTAGTTTACTATACATAAAGTTAAAGCTACCTATTGCCGTAAGTCCATGTTTATTTTGAGAGCTAAATTGACATTGATTCTTGACTTTTGGTTTCGTTTCAAACCATAGATATTTTCATACCTTCATACATGGACCAAAAAAGTCTTCGTCCGTGTATATAATAATTTGCAATTCATTTTAGCATTTATTGATAGTCCAAAACAAACAGTAATCATTTAAGTTCCTTGGGTAAAATTCGTGGTGAGCACAAAGGTAGCTTTCCAATAACAGCATTATAGCGCATTATGCGGCATAATGCTTAACGTTGAGTATTTCAACTACAGCAACGATTCGCACAATCGAGTACTCTCAAAAGTAATGCTTTCGTGTGATGCGTGCAATCGTACCAACACAGAGATAGAAAATTAACAAGTGTTTTTTCTTTAAGTTGGCATTGATCGAAATGTTTTATTTATATGTTATCGTTAGTAATATTATTTATTGTTGAAAAATTATTAAAACTTTCGTTTCATTATAGTTTTTTTTTAAATAATCAATGTTAATTCAAACTTTGTAAAAAAATTAAATATAAATATGGATGAAGGTATAAACATTGACTTTTTTTTCAACACTGAACTTAGCGCACTCTGCTGGTGCATTTGAAAACTAATTCACGTTTTGTGAATTCGTGAATTCGCCATTGTGCGCCCCTCAGTCGCATTATGCTCTGTAATTAGAAAACCGCCACAGATATAAGCAAGGCCGTGCTGCCCTTCCCAACGTGTCTTCCCGTTTTAAGGTAGGACTATAGTTTTTAAAGGTTGCCCCAAATAAAAGGGCTTTAAGAAAATATATGAAAATTGACCTGCACCCCCCCCCCCCCCCCCCCTTCGTCAAAAAAACGAATTGGAATGCTCTTTGCTTGTACATTACAGGACAACCTATAAGAAATTCATAGGTCGTTCGTTACCATTATACGGTAAAGAACCCTAACCTGTGTTTGGGGACGGCGGGATCCTCAAGCCGAGAATTGGCGAGTGGCTAGAGGTATTCCAGATGGATGGCATCGTTCCACGGGGGGAGTTTCCTCTACGTCTGGAGCCTTTAGACCACTGGAACCTGAGGGGGTCGGTTCAACTAGAGAGCGTCTCTAAGACTCGGACCTCGGCTCTAGTTAGCCGTTGTCGTGGGGGCCGAGTGGCAGAGGCGTCTTTACCTATGGTGCAGAGTGTGCGTTGCATAATTGATCTTCCTTTTTTCGATAATTTTTGTTTCAAAGAAACTAGAAGCCCTCGAATAGTGCCAAGAAAGTGTGTAGATTTAATAGGAATTCACAAAAAAATCAAAACATGAGGCATACCTAGTATAATAATAGTATATCTACTGATTATTATTTGTATAAAATTTCTTTTACGGAATTTTGCATTTTATAAACGCAATTTTGAGCATTAACTACTGTCTTTATAGCACTGTATTTGCCAAGGCGTGACAGCAATAGTTTTCTCAAATGTCTCTCAGCTCGCAACAGCTCCTAACAGTACGCACTCTTTAGTGCACGAGTCCGACTTACGCACTTACTTTTTTCGGTTGATTTGTATGAAGGTGGCTTTTTTTTAAACCAATGGTTCACACACATCAGTGGTCCGCAGAAGCCAAAATATGGTCAGCGAATGGATTTGAATTAAGCGGGCGCGCTCGCTAAAACCACAACTGTTATTATTTCTTTTATTTAATTTCATATTAGATTTTTAATTAAAGTTTCAGTTTGATTATTATAGTTTATTTTTATTACACTAAAATTTAGTTATTCAGTGACTAAACAGTGGTCCGTGCCAAAAAAATTATGTAAAAGTGGTCCCTGACCAATAAAACGTTGGGAACCCCCTGTTTTAAACTTTCACTTTTTATATGACAGAACAATATTAACATAACATTTTGTACAATAACCAAACAAGATTGCTACTATTCATACTTGCAGAGTTACGTTGTTTATGTCCATAAGGACTTAACAGACCTTTACCAGATAAATATGGGACAATGACTGGAATAAAAATAAAAAAAATGTGAAAATCGGTATACAAACCTCAAGACATATGCCCAATGAACATAAAAACATATTAAATATATATTGAGGATTGAAAACCTCCTCCTCTTTGAAGTCTGTTAAAAATAAAACTATAATGTTTTAGTACTTATTATATTGATTATTACAAAAAACACGGACCTGAAAAAAAGATGACAGCGAAGAAACAGGTCCGTGACAACAAATTGGTAGGTCAAAAAACTTATTTTTTTAAAACATTTTTTGCTTTATGAGTAATCATCATCTTCTTCATCTTCAACTTTGGGTGCTGTGGGTGGAGGCACATATGGCTGAGCACCATCAGCCCCCACTAGACCTTGTTGCTGCAAAAGAAGCCATTGTTGTTGCTCTTGTTTAGCTTGTTCTTCCCGAGCCTGTAATTAAATTGTTTTTTTTTAGTAATTGGCACTATTCAACCTAAGACTTCTTTCGAAACTAGGATATATTCGAACTTCTTGAGCAAAACAACTGACAAACTAACTTGAGCAGTAGACGTTTTTGTATATAAAGTTGCTACTGTTCAAGTTTCCTTGTCTATGGATGTTGCTCAAAGTTTGCTAAGGTGACTATTGCAAAAGATAAACAGCCAATGAATAAGAACTATATACAGCTAAATATTAAAAATCTTTACACATTTTTGACAATTTCCATGGATGTGTGTACATTGGTATCACCCACACTGAGGGCTTGGGTTTCAATCTTGAGTCATGACTGATTATATTATTATTCTTCTAGATAAATAACCAATTCTATTTAATATTATATACTTAATACCATGTAACAATAATTGTATTTCTATCCACTATCCTAGTACCCTATAACAAAAGCTAAAGAGTGCTTATTATGAGGCTAAGCTAATTGATGCAAGTGAAAGAAATTTGTATTAAATTTATTTATAGCAGTCTCATGTAAAATAGCAATAAAATGGATTTAAACAATTAAATGTCAGAAACATTATAAACATATAGTACATATAGACCTCTGTTTACGTGAGTTTCAATATATTTTGAATGAGCTTAAATACTGATTAACCAAATAAATATATCCAATGTTTCAGCTAAAATAAATACAGTACTTTAGCAAAAAGTTCCTGTTGCTGTCGTAGTAATTCTTCTTCTGGAATCCCTAAATTCTCAAGTCTTGTACTCTGTCTCCTTCTTTTGGCTGCAACAGCTTTACAGTCTTTAAGTACAGCTTCTGCTTCCAAGGTATAATCGTTAAAACCTAATCTATCAAGAGCTGAAAAAAAATAAAAGTTTTAGTTGTTTGCACATATGAACTGGTTGTCATTAACTATAAATTTACCTGCTAAAACATGTTCAGCATTAATAGTTTTTTTGTTACTCTGATTACAGATTTCGTTTGCCTCAGAACTTAGCAAATGAATAAATTCTGTACAACAATTCAATATTAGCTCCCTGGACTCAAATGCAACTCTGACAGAAGGAACTAATTCTTTAATCATTTTGTTGATACTAGCTCTAGGTAGGGTTAATTCATCTTCTTCTGAAGGTGGCGGACAGAGCTCTCGTTCTGGACTTCCCATAGCAGTGGCTTAATGAAAGATCAATATGAATTGCAGTATTACTTTACTAAAGCTGATGAAAGACTCAGAATGCAGATACCACAAACTCTTGCAACAAATAAAATAATTTTGTTTCTTTTTCGTTTGTTTCCCTATTGGGGAAAGGCAAAGGCAAAGTCATGCAGCCAACGTTTGTATTAATATTTTTTTTTTAATTCCGGTCAAGTGGACGCGACGTGAGAACTTTATTGTAGTATTGACTACCTCACAGACGCTTATCGAGAAAGCTGACTCGATATATTTCGTGTCAACACTCCAAGAAACATTAGAATGCGTAATGCGGACGACCAGGCGCGGCGAGGGCTTCCACCCTTATGTTGTCGAAGTTCCTCCCATTCGCACGAAGCGATTTGCTTCGGTCTTCATTATGCGAACGGCTAGGAAGTGGAACTCCTTGCCGAGGTCTGTTTTCCCGGACCAATATAATCTGGACATCTTCAAGGCCAGAGTGAACAGGCATCTTCTAGGCAGGCGTGTACCATCCTAGGCCTCATCATCGCTTTCCATCAGGTGAGATTGCGGTCAAACCAAGAAGCTTATATACAACACTGGAGATTGCAGTGCAAACAATGATGTCGATTCTGGCATGATTCTCTAAAGCTAAACTTAAATTTGACAACAGTGCATCCTTGTCATTCTCTATACATAATGAAAAGAAGAGACTGATGTTAAATTTAGTTTTAAGTTTGGAGAATCACGCTAGAATCGACATCAATACCTTGAAGTGAAAAAATATGGCCTCGAATGACGTCACATATGTTTGTTATCTCTTTCTAAGGGTGACCATGTTGGAATATACGTTTAGGATACATACTTACTGGTATCGTCTTTAAACAATTTATAAATCAAAGCGTTGGAGTTGATAGGAACTTGGGAACACATTATTTAATAGTAATAAAATTCACAAGTACAAAAATCATTTTATTCATATTAGATGCGTCTTATATTATGCAATGTCAAAAACGTTTATAAAAAAATTAACGAGAAAGAATATGCAAACCCTTTCTAAAATCGCCAGAAATGCTTTTTACTAAGAACGGACTAGAAACTCTAAGCTACATATTTTGGCTGATAAATAAAATTGACCTTTTAATGGTATTGTTACGTGTCGGGATGGGGTTCGAAATTATATGCCAGTTCATGATTGACAGTTCTTTATTCACCACACAGTTCACACAATTAACACACAATGTTAATTACAAAACACTCACTAAACACTGTATTTCACTATACAAGTCTCTAAACAATCTCACTTGAACACTTTTGTTGCACTTTGATCGCCTTTGGATTCGCTCCGAAATCGCTGTTGAAACTCAACTGTCTCGGCACGGCGCCAATCGCCCTTATACCTATACGCCGATCGATACATTCTAGAAAGTTACCAATTAGCCTAGCCCCAAAGTAAGCACTATAAGGCTTGTGTTATGGTATACTAGGGTAACGGGTAGAATACATAAACTGTACATTTATAAGTATATTTTTTTTTATAGAAATACATATTAAACATCCATGACTGGAGTACAAATGCTCGTATTCATCACACAAACATCTGTCCCCACCGGATTTGAACCCGGGACCTTTCGAGTCGGCGACATTATGAAACCCGGCGTACAAACCACTCGACCACGGAGGTCGTCGAAAGTCGAAGTTCTAGAAAGTACCTGTTAAATTAAGAATTACCTAGCACCCGCGAGGACGAAATACCTACGCAAGTAACACGCATAACTTGTAAACAAGTGCAGATATCGTTGCACTTTCACCTTTACGTCGCACTGCTTAAGGCTCATTTTAGAATGAGCCGCCTTACTCGACTTCTATTGCGACCCGCGGTGCTCTGGTAAATTCGATCTCTAGCACATTCGCGGTTCCGTTTCGAGAGCGTTTGTGGCAGTATAATGGACAACCAAGAATTTCTTTTAATGACATCTTTCGGGAAGCTGAAACATAAACAAAGGTATCAGACCGCTGCTAGATTAGGGCTGCCATACGTCCCGGTACACCGGGACATGTCCCGGTTTGCGGCGTCGTGTCCCGGTGTCCCGGTCATCAAGTTATTTGTCCCGGTATGCACACAATTCGTTGTATCTCAAAAGTTACACGTGTAAATGGTTCCCGCGCCCTTCCGCCGGCGCCCCTCCGCCCGCGCATCTGGTTTAAATCGTTGCAGTGTTTTGTTTAGTTGCTCTCGAGAACAACGTATGACCTTGCGCTGCGCACTGTGCTGTACTTTGAAGTTTAGTTTATATTTTTGCCAGTATTTTGCTAAAAAGTCATGCCAAAAAGAAAGTGTTTGTTTTCTGACGATTATACTAAAGAGTGGTCATTCATTAAAAGAGGAAGAATTGATTATGAAGCCTTGTGTTCCATTTGCGGTTTGTATATATCTGTTAGTCATGGCGGCAAGTCAAGTATCAAAGACCATATTCAAAGTAAAAATCACAAGACGAGATTATCAGTGGCATCAACTTCTAAAGATATATCGACATTAATGATCAAACAAAATACCACCGAAGACATGTTAATATGCGCTGCCGAACTGACCACTGCTTATAAAGTTGTAAAGCACGACCAATCGTTTAGTTCTTTGGATTGTACGACAAAACTGAATGCCTTCATGTATCCTGATTCAAGTATCGCAGCAAAACAATCAATTGCAAGAACACATTCGATCGCGCAAATTAAAACAGAAGTCGAAAAAGTTCCTTTTTATGATATTTGTACCGATTCTAGCAAATAACAAAGTAGATAAGTTATTTCCACTGTTGATACAGTACTTTACGGAAAAAGAAGGATTGACAATTAAATTACTGAAATTAAACTCATTGCCGAATGAAACATCTGATACAATCACTTCATTTTGTATAAAATCGTTGCAGGATCAAAACATCCCTGTGCAAAATATTGTTGCTTTTAGTGCTTATAACACAAACGCTAACTTTGGAGGAAAAAATAGGCGTGGAGTTAATAATGTTTTTTTTAAATTAAAAGAGATTTTATCTAAAGACATTGAAGGCATCGATTGCCCAGCGCACATTCTGCACAATACAGCTTCCACTGCTACCGATGTGATTTCGATTGACGTGGAGTCTATTTTTCTGAAAATTTTCAAGTATTTTTCTATATTCACTGTTAGAGTAGAACGGCTTAAAGATTTTTGTGAGCCTGCAGCAATAGACTACAACAATATACTCTCACATTCCAGAAGCCGGTGGCTTTCACTACTTCCAGCAATTGAACGCATACTAAAGTTATGGCTGCCACTGAGAGAATTTTTCGCTAATGAAGCAAATGCCCCAAAAGCTGTAGTCGATTTTTTCGCTAATCCCTTATCAGAACTTTATACTCTTTTTGTGCACAGTCAAGCATTTCTGATTGAAAAACAAATAAAAAAGATTACTATTATTGAAGTGAAAAATGATTTAGAGGATACAAAAAAAACAGTTGAGTGACAGATTACTAAATAAATATTTAGGAAATCAACAAGACAAGTTTATAACAAACTAAAGAATGAAGGCACAATTAATACAAATCAATCCGAAGCATTTGACAAAGAAACGGGAGATGTCTTTAGCACTGCTATCCGTCATCTCGAACAGTGGACAGAACCGATGACAAAATTTAATGTTTTCGCTTGGATGATTTTAAATGATATTCCTCAATGGCAACAAGTAGAAGAAACTACAAGATATTTAAATGAGAAAGATATAGCAGTAGATGATTCAATGTTTGAAGAATTTATGTATTTAAAATCGTTTATGGAATGTGAAATGACCGATGAATGGAAAGCTAAAGAAATGCAAGAAAAATGGAAATACTTTTTTGAAAAAACCGAAGAACTGGAAAGAAAAGCGAATCTTCTTAAATTGTGTCAATATATTTTTGCAATTCCTGGCCACAATGCTCACGTGGAACGAGTGTTCGCGTTAATTTCAGCGCAGTGGACGAAAGAACGAAACTCACTCAGTGTAAGCACAGTGGAAAGTATCATTGCACAATGCATTTATAATTATAAAATGACGTGCATAGAATTTTATAATTATGTTAAAGAGGAGAAGGAGTTATTGGCAAAGGTCAAATCTTCGGAAAAATATGAGTGAGCAAAGAAAAGTATTACTTTACTATTGTTTTTTTTAATAATCGATGGTTTGCCCTATTTCTGTCCTAAATGTCCCGGTCGGCGTCTCCGAATTTATGGCAGCCCTAGCTATCTAGCAGCTAGATAGCTGTTATTAAATAGGTTTTCTACATCTAATCAACATGATCTACTACAGTATTTATTATAAACTTATTTTCATATTTTGAACTTTGTAATTAAAATTTACAATAATAATTATGTCTTTTAACTTTCTCAAAATATCTCAAGTGTAGTGATAATGGTTGTTACCCTACAAAACCAAAATTTATATTATTTTAATTTAATAAACTGCTGAATATGGTACCAAATGTAGTGAATAAAACAAGAATAACGTTAATTTATAGCCTCAGGACACTATGTTTTATAAATACTAACGTTTTATTATGATTACAACTAGGGCTGCCAGGCCATAAAATGCAAAGGCCGGACTGTGCACTATATAAGGCCTGACATTTTGCCCTAAAAGCCGGACATATTTATTATATCGGACAGCGGGGCGGGATAGTCACGCTCACGTCACGCGCCGCGCGCGCCTACAGTTTGCTCTCTTGTCCGCTCTGACGCTCGTCCGCCCACCGTCGTACGAATCGCCACTCTGACAAAAAGCCTGACTAAAGCCGGACAGGCCAAACACGTACATATTTGGCCGGACGCGACCGCAAAAAGCCAAACATGTCCGGCTAAAGCCGGACACCTGGCAAGCCTAATTACAACACAAAAATTTAGGAATATGTTTATTTCGGTATTGGCGTAATGTAATAGACTTACCTGTGAAAGGGGTTTGGGTAAAAGTGGCTTGATTTTCAAAGTCTGCGGCCACGAATGCTTTATTTTTTATTGAATAGAACTAAAAATATTAAAAATAAAGTATTACGGCCATATATCTGTAAAGTACATCGAAGCCAAGATATGATTTTTTTAAAATAGAATAATCGTAAATTCATATCATTGAATCTTACGTGCTTTTTTGTATGAATTGTTGTCTAAAACATACCATTTAAGTTAATAACGGTTTAACAGACCCTTTTTTGTCTGGTTTGACCGCCTCAGCCAATCACATCAGTTTTTGGATATTCCACTTAGGTCTCATGTATGTGAAGATCATGTCAACTCTATATATATGCCAGTGTAGCTGTCCGGCACGGTGCATTGCGCCGGATCCCCACGGGCAGAGTCATGGGACAGGCGCAGTCAGGGCGCACACTCGTCGTCTCCTACCCGCTCTTCTTCGGCGGGAGGGAGCGGCCAGGGGATCATCCTCCCGATCCCTCTCGGCTGCTTCATTCTACGAGAAGACGTTCTTGCAGAAGGAGGCAGCCGCCTTCCATACCGTCTCGCTACTGAGCATGGCCTCTACCATGCTCCTCAGCGAGAGGGTTCCGCCTCACAGCGCCGCGATTAGGTCACAGCGCTGCTGTAGCCAGGCCGGGCTCTCCAACAAGGTGTGCCGTGTGCTCGGTCGTTTCGTCCGGGGCGCCGCAGTGATGGCACTGCGGCGTTTCTTCCCGGCGAGCGATAAGGTACAGGTAGTAACCGAAGCATCCGTGTGCGGTCAGTATCTGCACTATGCGGAAAAGAGGCCGCCACAACGGCTTAGCGCAGTGCCGACCGACGCCAGGCGAACCGCCTCGTCTACCGACTTTGCCTTCGCCGCCACCAACGTGTCGACGGCGAAGCAGACAACCTCCGAGCTGGGAAGAAGGCTGCCTCGCGGCACCCAGTCGTACCCCAGGTTCCAGAGCAGTGGACCCAGCACTGACCCCTGGGTTACACCTGCGGCCATGGCCCGAGAACATACGCTTCCATCGGGCCCCTCAGAAGACTGCTCTCCCTTGCAGGTAGTCCTCCACGATGGCTCGCAGGTATGGAGGCACGCAGTGAAAACGCAGTGCCTCCATAATACACTCTTGGGGGAGACTGTTCTCTTCTTCTTCTTTCAACGGGCTTTTCCGCAACTCGAAGTCCTTATGGCGCCTGTTTTGCGTAAGGAGGGTGTATAGCCGAATCACTCCAGCCAGCCCAGCTCCATCAGGAACGCCCCCAGGGCCTTCACATTGGTGACTGCCTCTTGGAGGTTTCCCGGTGAGCCGAGGTATTTCGCACGGTATTCAGCCACTCCGTTGCATTCCAGCAGAACGTGAGTAGCTGTTTCTTCTGCCTCCATGCAACCTCTGCATAGAAGGTTGTCCGTGACACCTAAGTTAAAAAGATGTCTGTTAAAATGTGCATGTCCGGTAATAGCACCTGTTACCATGTGCAATGTAGGTTTGCCTAGCTGTGGAAGAGTTTTGGAGAGGACAGCGGTCACCCGTGGCAAAGCGAGCTTGGTCTGCCTGCACGTCTCCAGATCGAGCCAGTGTTGCTGGTGTAGTGCGGCTGTGAGCTCGCAGATTTTATTTACGAGACAGCTTACCGGGATCGGGGCGATTGGTTCGGGACCTGTTGGGGTTGATACGGACCCTTTCCGGGCCAGCTCGTTCGCAGCGTCGTTTCTGTGTGACCCACTATGTCCCTTGATCCATTGGATAGTAATAGAATTGCTTTACCCTACCGTGTTTAGGGTTTGGTGGCATTCTTGCAGGAGGCTCGATTTGACTAAACAGGCATCTAGAGCGTGTAAGACTGATTTGCTTTCGGACAGTATTCGTATTTCCGGTCCTGTTACCTTTCTTGAAAAGATCGCCCTTGCCGCCAGTATGATGCCCATACATTCAGCTTGAAAAACTGTGTTGTACGGGCTTAAGGGGAAAGCGATATGTATATTGAGGTCCTCAGAGAAAACACCCGCGCCCGTGCCCGATGAGGTATTAGATCTGTCGGTGTAGATCATGAGAGCCTTGTGTGATACCTTGGGATCGTTGTCATCCAGTAGATGTATACTGTACTTTTTGTCAAATATGAAGGCAGGTATTATTTTGGGGGGAAGACTGTTAAAGGCGTTGCGGATGTCTAGCTACACCGCAATAGCAGTCTCTCCCCGACGAGTGGCCGCCTCGGTCCACCCCTTTAAAAGGTCCACCACCTCCACCGTGGACCGGTTTCGCCGGAACCCGAACTGGTGCTCTGCCAGGTTTGGGTCCGGCTCCCTCAGGTGCTCGATGATACACCCCGCCAGAATTCTTTCAAAGAACTTCCCGGCGTCATCGAGCACCAATACTACCGCGGCCCAGGCAGGTACTCTAGGTACTCTAGATCAAGTTTTGATCTGTTCCTTTTTTTTCATTAATGTTAGCTTTTAGAAAGCATTACCACAATACTAAACATGTATAATAATCTCAGGAGATAATTTATTGAGCTTTTATATCATATGACTTTTGTTAGAATTCAAGATCAAATATCTGGATTCCGATATTAGTTATGGAACTACTACCTTGCTAAGAACAATTCACATATATAGTACTATCAAATAATCATAATTAGTTCAGTGGCCGCTGTAAAAAAAATCAAGCCAACCTCCATACAAAATTACCCAATCCCCTTTAGTGCTGGAATTTGGTTCCCAAACACTTCTGCAATCTCACACAACACAATACACATTATAAATAGCAAATTGAACAATTTAACACTTTTTATTAATAATCTAAACATTCGAAGCGGTAGATTTTTTTTGACAGATGGGGATATTCTTCAGTTGATTTTTTAATTAGTGTTGCTATTATACCAAAATGTAGCAACCAGCAAACAGGGAAATAAAGGGCGTATTTATTATTTAGTTTTAAATATTGATTTCAAAGTAGTTGGTTAGAATTTGTCACACTCATCTTATAATAGTAATACAAGAGTAGGACTTCTGGAGATTGTAAAACTGATTGATATCTTGCATAGTTCTGTTTATTTTCACTTTCTGATTGGAATTTCTTGTATTTAACATGGTAATTTCAGATAGTGTTTGAGAGAGATAAAAAACAAATCATGAGGTTATTGAACTCATCTTCATACAGAAGTTCTACATGCAATTTCCAGTGTTGTATATAAGCTTCTTGGGTCAAACGCATTGCCTATTTTGCATAAAAAAACATTGTATTGTAAAAAAAATAGAAAACTGAACACTATGCTGTATAGGAATTGTTTCCTTTGTCTTCCCTAAAAAGGGAGAACGTTATAAAAATATCATAACCAAGGAAGGACCATTGAGACCAGTGTTGCCAGGTCTCCAGATTTTACAGGAGATCTCCTGTTTTTCTGCAATTTCTCCTGTTTTTCTACAATATCCTGTTTTTTTAGATTTCGATTTTCTTTTTTAAATTTCATGTTGAGTTGCATTTTCCGTCATTAATAATGTAGCTAACCTTAATAATTATAAAATAAATGTAATTGTCAAAAAATTTTCTTGTAGCTCTTTGCATACATCTACTGTTTTTTTTTATAACACCTCCCGATTTTTGAAAATCGGACCTGGCAACACTGATTGAGACATTGTGAGCTGAGAACTGAAAATAATCTGTACCGTTTCCAAACTGCAGGTGTTTAGAGGGAAAAATAAAATTAATTTCTATAATATGGTCTTCTACTTTACAAGTAGCGTTGTGTCACCCTCAGTAACGTTATTTATGGGTGCTGATAAACATGAAAGTGAGTACTTTCTGTTGTTATTATTTTGTCTTTAGTAAATGGTCGTACTTTTGATAGTAGATGTATTTACCTTCACAAGAAAAAACATTTTGATGTAAGTAATTCAACCAAGTGTTCATCTATTTGAATCCTTTTCCCTTTATCATAACCTATATGTATCGATCTGCAAATGTGTCATTGTTTATTAAAATGAGTAGGTATTAGTACATTTGTTGAATTCTGATCAATTATTTTTTCAGACGAAGATTTAATAAAATGGGGATGGCCTGAAGATGTCTGGTTCCATGTGGACAAAGTATCCTCAGCCCATGTTTATCTACGTTTAGCTCCTGTAATTATTAATTCATAAGTATCCATAATGTCAGGCTTATTTGTTCAATTCTCAAAAAAGTTATTATTTTAATGAAATAGAACTAACAAGTTTAATTTTACATTTTCATCAGAGGGTAGTGTAAATTATTATTCTGTATTATACATTAAAATGATAAAATGTTAATGCCTATTTATCATGCCAGTAATAAATATCCTGAATTGTATTGTAGACATTTTATACACCTTTATAAATGCTGTTAGATTTTATTCTCAAATTATGTTCATATACAGAGATGTATAAAAATTTATTAGGTGCCCTATACTATGAAATTAATCACAAAATTTAGAGACTAAATTAATAGTTATTATTGTAACAATTTAAAATATTTTAGGGTCAAACAATAGATGATATTCCCAATTCTGTTCTTGATGATGCCTGCCAACTGGTTAAAGCAAACTCTATATTGGGTAATAAAATGAATGACATTGACATAGTTTACACCATGTGGTCAAATCTTAAAAAGACACCGTCAATGGAGGTGTGTATAAAATGAACCTTTTATTATTTTTATTTTTAAATATTAATAACATACCTAATAACTGCTGTTTAATTTTAGGCAGGACAAGTAGCATTTCACAAGGATAAAGATGTTAGAAAAGTACGAGTTGCAAAACGAAGTAATGAAATTGTTAATAGACTAAATAAAACAAAAAAGGAAGCATTTCCAGACTTCAGACAAGAAAGAGAAAACAGAGACAGGTCAGAAAGAGAAGATAAAAAGAAACTATTGAGAGAGAAGAAAGAAAAAGAAAAGGAAGAAGAAAAACGGAAGAAAGACGAAGCAGAACTTAAGAGTTATTCGACATTGATGAAACCAGAAAATATGACAACAAATTATGATGGAAATGATTCTGATGACTTCATGTGAAATTAGATATATGTATAAATAATAAGACCTGCTTTAAATTCAATAAAAATAGTTTCTTTACTCAGACAAATGTATTCCAACAGAGTTCAAGGAATCTGTAACCCAAGTAGGTATATTACCATCACTATATATTTCATTTACAAAATTCTTGACAAATTGAGGAAATGTCCCCTTTTCTATATTTTCTCTCATAGCCTGCATGAGATGCATCTGAAACATGATACAAGTATCAAGACTGTAAACTGAACTTAATTGCTTACAAATAAATAAACTACGTAATTTTCCTAGTGAATTGAAACAAATACTTTAAAGTTAGCAAGCCAGCTTAGTGGTACAACCTTCCCACCACATTGCATTTGCCATTGTTTGATTTTTTATGAGGTAGGTAGTACAAAAATAAGTTACATATTTATGTTATTTAAATACTTATCTTGCATTTAAAAAGTGCCTTCTAAAGTCTACCCTGCCTCCTCGTTTTCTAAATTTTTTCAAACCTATGCTGGCAGTTGTTAGAAATTTACTCTTTTCTATTATTGTATGCATATAATATTTATTCTGCCTCTAATTAAAGTCCTAATCTATATCTGTACTGATTTTGATGGAATTTTAAAGGGCATTATTCTCTCTGGGTGGATTAGATTTTTGGATATTTCTTTTATATTTTTACTGGGTAAGACAATGTTTGTCAGGTCCACTAGTTATTATATTTAGTTTTATTACCAATGCAGAGTAGGAGTAACATTACCATCAAAATTATATTACCTGATAAGCAATGTTGTGGACAGATATAAGGTGACAAGCCACTGTTTCCACTGTTACTATGCAGTGTAAATAGGCTCGTGTATAATTCTTGCAGGTAGAGCATGGACAATCATTCTCAATAGGGTTTAAATCTGCCTCATATTTTTTTTGTTTCAAATTAAGTTGACCTCTTTTTGTGAGTGCACATCCAAATCTCTGTAAAATAACATAACACTGTTTAGATAACATTGTTTTTGTAAAATTATACAAGTTTACATACAAGCTACTTACAGCTGTACGTGTTGGTAATACACAATCAAACATATCTACACCAAGAGCAACACAAACAACAAGATCAATAGCCAAGCCCACTCCCATTAGATATCTTGGTCTATTCTTGTCTAATATACTTGTACTTAAACTAACCATGGGCCAAAACAAATCCTTTGATTCTCCACCACTGAAAAATTAAAATTAATGAATGCAAATATGTACTTTGTTTGAAGTAATGCCAATGCACCAAAGGTTCATTTGAAAAGTACCAAACTTTGATGGTTAAAAATATATTTATTTCCTCTAAAACAGTAACAAAGACTTTTAAATTTCAAATAAATGACTATTTTTTTCATGTTCGTTTGACTGTAAATAACAAAGAATTTAAAAGTAGAAAACAGATTTCTATGATTTTAGTGATATTTTTTTTAACCCTGAAATAAAACCCAACATACCGGTGCATTGTCTCTAAGAGTATGAAATGCTTATATGAAGTCCTCAGCTTGTATGACTTCAAATAATAGTTACTTTAGAGTACATTTATAATATAATAATAATAATTTGGTCAAGTCTTACTCTCCAAAATACAGGTTGAGGGTCTTATGGGAATATTTTTTTTTTAAATTGAGGGAACAATTAAATCTTCAAATTATAAGTCCCTGCAAGAGCTTCAGAATGAATAAATAAAATGTTCAGTCAGTTTGCCCCATTTTAGTTACTAAAAACATATAATCATTTTTAGATACCTCAATCCTCCGATTGCAAATCCATTTACATCTTTTGTCAAGTGATCATTGGCACTTTTCTCTCTCAACTCTGAGTTTAATAGACCTTGAACTATAGGAAATATACTTTGTTCAGATGGTCTTTTATGAGCTTTTAGACAACGATCTAACCATCTGCTAGTTCTCTCTGTTGCTTCTTTAATACGATCATAATTTTGGAAAGTAGTTTGAACTACATCATCAAGCTGCATAATTATATCTGCACCTGAAAGGAACACGAAACTGACAGTGACATAGTGACAAAAATCTAAATCCCCTTTAAAAGTTTATATTATATATTGAGTTGTAGAAATATATAATGATGGTTTTAAACAAAGAATATTTAAAATTCTTTACCAATACAGTTTTGAATTTCAATTGATTTCTCAGGTGTTAACATTATTTCTGAGTCATCATATGGTGATTTAAACTTAACACCTTCCTCAGTTATTTCTGCCAGTTTGAGCAATGACACCATTTGAAATCCTCCCGAATCAGTCAAGAGTGCCCTATTCCAAGACATGAATTTGTGTAGACCACCGACTTTCTCCAGGACTTTGGTACCGGGGCGATTACCCAAGTGATAAGTGTTTCCTAAAATAATTTCACAGTCTAACTCTTCAAGCTGTTCAGGTAGTAATCCCTTCATCGTGCCCTGAATAATATAAGAAAATATATAAAAGTATAGCAGTGAAATGTTTTGCTTCTAGCTGATGCGTTCAGCTGTTACCTGTGTTCCTACTGGCATGAAAACAGGGGTTTTAACAGTGTAGTGTGGTAACTTCATGAGACCAGCGCGAGCTCTTGTAGTTTTGCATTCAGCATGTACGTGAAATAACAGAGCATGTGATTTTGAACCCATTTTTATTTTCCTCCTTCGATGCACAAATGTTAACCTAACATTTATCAAAGGTACGTTTCTACCAGATATAGCTACTAGTGTCTTTAACAAATCCACCAGCTTTAATTTTCAAAACCTAAAATTATTTTCTTTTTACGCTGTGAAGTATTTTAGGTTATTATTTTGTTGACATATCTATGTTACGTTTGGAACGTACGTACGCTCTAGTTGCAAGGTTGCAACAAATGACAAAGGTGCATGTCGATTCTGGCATAATTCTCTAAACCTTTTAGACTAACCTTAGATTTTTAATCATCAATTTCTCCATGAAAGTTTAGATATTCATGCTAGTATCGACACCACTGTTGTCAAATTTAATTTTAGGCTCAGAGAAGAGAATCATGCCCAATAACATAGACATACTATCAAATGGATGGAGTGTGGCGACTTTGCACCGCATAAAAGTTGGTCCATATCGCCTACGGATTCCAAAAATAGACTTCAAAATATAAAATTTCGTCCTTACGTCACGGACCTGCCTTACGTATTGTATTTTTATAATTGTGAAGATTTTCCAATATATTGTGCTGATAAGTTGACGTATCGCCGTTTTATTACTTCATTCCGCTAGTGGGGAGCAGCGGTTAAACATTCTCCAAAGGAGCAGTTCATAAAAACAGCGTGGCCATTTATCTTTGTGTCGCTGGTCAATGAGCATGTAGAATATGAATTCTATGGGTGTGTCTCAATGATAAAAGAAATTCTTTTATCATTGGTTTGTCTAGAGAAGCGACAAGAATTTATATTGTGGCAAGCGCCATGATCACGGAGTAACTGAAGTAATTGCGGGTAGATGTTATTGGCAGACATATCGGTCTACCCTCTGAAATCGTCTTTTATTGTATTCGATAAGCTTACCACTGGTCACATTCTCTCTATTCAGTCGTTCTTGTTCCCTACATACAATACTCACAGTATCAGATCAGTTATTAGGACCCGAATCAATTAAATGATCCGCGATGGCTGATTTTTGCGTATCATTATTTCTCACTGCTTTTATGTGTTCTTTCATTCGGTACGCTAGTATTCGCTGCTTTTGGCCAATATCACACGCGAACGAACGAACGAACTATCACAGCTGCAGTCGATCTTGTATACACCAGGTTTCTCCAAGGGGAAGTTGTCTTTGGGTGAACGTAGAATCTGCGACACTTTTTCTAAAGGAGTGAAGACAGTATTCAGTGAGTACTTATTAAGTATGTTCGAGATCTTGTCTGTCACTTGTCACTCCTTTGATAAATGGCAAAAATAGTGGTTGCCGGTCTACTTTGTGTTTCTAGTGTCTTAATTTGTGTTTGGGTGGAAACTTTCCCTTTATCCATTATTCTGTAAGACCCGCCGTACATGCTCGCAACTCTTTGTGCAGGTGTTCCTTGTCACACAAGTCATTCCATTATTTAAAGAACTATTCAAAGTAGTTCTTAATCCACACCAAATATTAAACCGATTATTATTATCGGACAAGGTAAATTTTCAGTAATGTCATTTTTAATGGTACTCGGTTTTATTTATATTCAAGCAGTTTTCCACTGCTACATAATTACAAAATTCATATCAATTTGTTTTTGTCTAACTACTGAGATATGACAAATAGAAGTTTAAAACACTGGGTGCTAGATTTTTGTTTTTATAAAGTCCACTATTTCCGAACTACCTAACGATCCCATAATAAAAAATTGGTGGGTGGACACCATAAAAAGATATCGTGGAGAAGATTTCTAGCAACCAGCAAAAACTACGGTTATATGCTCAGATCATTTTAATAGATTAAAATAATTTTTACCTAAATCAAAAGTTTTGCGTCACAGAGGTATGTATTGTATAATATATCAAATAGGGAAGATGCAATATTTTTATTTTTGTTTTCATTTTAAAGAATTCCATGTAGAATAAACCACAGATATATTAAAAAATTAAAACATTGTGATTTATCAGAAAAAATGCGGTTTTAAATTGACAATTTAAATTTTCGCGCGAAAACGAACCTATGTTTGCGATGACGTCACTTCTGTCTGTCTGTCACTGGTCGTACTTGTTCGTTGCTGGCTTTAAATTTTCATACTTTTGCATATTTTTTCGAATTTCGAAATATTTATTTTGAAAAATTTAAAATGGACTATCCATCAACATCATGTGATCATAACAATACCACTAATATTCCGAAAAAAAGCCGTGTTGACTCATGGTTTGTGAGTTCAACAAAGTTCCCAAATAAATTGTTTTTGACTGGAACTTGTGACACAAAACTGAAAAAAAAACCTGGTTTCAAGCTGCGAAATGACAATTATTCTCCAAAGACCATTATTCGATGCTGAGAAGATCACTGAAGACACAAGAGAAGAACTCGACCTTTTACTGTACATAATTCTCCATCTCTTTTAATTTGGACATAGCCGATTGCATTATCGTCGTAAGATTTGTAGAAGCCGCTGAATAAAATACGAAGTTTAACAACTACGATTTTTACATACCGTAGTAATTTAGTTCCTTTCATTTCTACACTTAAAAACTCTGCACTTTGGACAAAAAAAAGTTATAACCATGTCAACGTTAACTCTTGGTAAATTCATGGAGTCTGCTTTGATAAACGCAACTTCCATTTTTATTAAATGTAAAAAAACGCAATAAATATTCCCATAAAATAATATTTACTTTATCAACCATAACCTCAAAGAAGTTGTCATAACAGGAGTGACGTCACTAAACGCTGATTGGTGTTTTAAAATACGTTCCGTTTCAAGTATTTTTAATTCGTAATAATTGCTAAAAAACAACATTATGTAAAATAAAAACGTTGCAGTGGCATTTCTTTTATATTTTTTTAACATTTTAATCATAAAATTTTCGTAAATATTATATATGCATCTTCCCTATTATAAAGATTAATAATATTAAACTACTAAATTCAAGGCCTTCATCATCATAATTTGAAAAAAGGTCAATTTTGTTCTTTGTTTCTGTAATATCATGGCTATTATTTTAGATAAACTAAATAAAAATTTGTAACATGTATATATTTTTTTTAAATATCTAAGTATTAATCTATACATTTTACAGATGTTTCAACGACTATGATTTTTTTTGTTTTGTGAACAATGTACTAATTTTGATTTGATTAAATTTACCTACTTTTTGGGGAATGTGGCCTAACCTGCTATCTTACGCACGCGCACCGAGACTCAAATAATGACATTTCGCGAGTGTAAGATACAAGATTCGCCTGTTTTGTAGTAATTACAATGTATTTAAATTAACTAATTGTGTTTTTGTCATTATCATAAAAAAGTAACATACAAATAATATTTAAATTTGACAACAGTGGTGCCAATTCTGGCGTGATTCTCTAAACTTAAAATTAAATTTAACACCAGTCTCTCCTTTTCATTTTGTATAGAGAATGACAAGGATATACTGCTGTCAAATTTAAGTTTAGGTTTAGATAATCATGCTAGAATCGACACCAGTGTAGCCTTGTCATTCTCTATACAGAATGAAAAGGACAGAAAGATTATAAATTTAGTTTTAAGCTTAGATAATCACGCCAGAATCGATACCATAGTGTACTTATTCGCCACCTACAGTTTGTCTATAAAGTCGTGACATTAAATGATGGCGCCACTAGTATGCATGTAGCAACCCTATACAGTCGGACCAAAATGATTTTGATACTAGCAGTATATTCAAGTAAAATAGGTAATTAATAAGACACACTATACAGTCGTATTTTGTTTCTGTTTTATATATAGTAGGTACCTATGCTTATAAAAAGTTTAGCCAAGCATATTTCACTGAATCAGAATAAAGTTATTATAGATAAAATAGTACTTTACAGTGTAAAAGTGTGTAATGATGGTGATTACCGCTGAGGTGCCATTGAGGCCAGAGCCGTTAGGTAATCATCAATACACACAAGTATCATCATACGACGTTTTTTAACACACTTGTTAAGAAAATAATACTAAAAATCATTTTATAGTACATAAAAAGTTTATTTAGAGAAACAATTTGTAAATATGCAGTTAGTAAAATTAGTGATAGGTATCTTCACTAAAAGCATCTGGCCATGGTTCTTTATGTGACCATTTCTTTCTTTGGTCATCCTTGCCTGTTTTCCCAGGAGTTTCAAACTTTCAATCATTCTTAAAACCGTCGTTGACTATCCGACTCTCTGATTTTCCTGAAAAAAAAAGTAAAAAAATATGTAACGGAATAGAAACAATAACTTATTGACATGAAGCAATTAATTCAAAATTGGTAGAAAACCTGACCGAGTTGAACCATAATAACGTATCAAAAGAAATGGTCGTACTACAATATTACCTATTTACAATGTCAATCTAACCTAAAAATGTGCAATGTAAACAATGCCTTTTTTGGTCTCAAAATCGTAAATTGAGTAAATTTGTAACTTCAAGCAGATTACAAACAAATAGTTACACGATTACATACCCGTCATAGATGCTGTTCGCCCATAAACACCATTCAAATCCCACAAAATTCGTCCAGCTTGGTATTCTTCGAAACATCGCTGGAAAACTTTAAAAATCAAGAAAAACTACCGATATTGTTATTTAAAGAAAACTAAAATATCGATACCGAACTTTCCCTAGTTACGGTTACTTGTGATTGTCATTAGTGTGCGTAGGTGAAAAAATATATTTGTAGGCGATTGTAACAATACAAATAACTATTTTGTAAGGCTGTGTGAGTTTATTTTAATGTAGTGGTTTACCTCGTCCCCATCAAAAAGTGACAGACTTTGCACTGAGTAAAATTAGGCGCGCACTTAGTCCAGTGGTTTAATGGTCTAAGCAGTATAACGTCGATTCATGATGTCATTAGCACTGGCCAGTACACTGGTATGTATTACGGAATACACCCCTATCTGTGTTCCATAATCTCTCATTATGGTCGAAAAAGCGCGGGAAACTTCGGTTTGGTTGGTCGTAAATATTTTATAAAATTATTTTTTTAATGTAAATTGGATCAGTTGGGTAATATAGTGATAATATTTTAGTTTATTTTTATCTATTTAGTGTACATATTGTATTTTTCATCTTATAGTTGGTAAGTTATAGTTTTAATTTGAATTTAATTTTATGTTTGATCCAGACGACCCTGGGGGCTGTGGCCCCCACGTGTCGAATGTAATTACTGTGGATTT